GCGGACTTGTTGAGGTCTGAAAAGGTCGTCAGAAACGATCAAAAATGGAAATGAACGAAAAGAGTGGATGCGTACCATCCGCGCTCATCTGCGCGATGTACCCGAAGCGTTGCCCCATATACAGCTGCTCCGCGGGCTTGTAGCCGTTGGTGCAAGTCTGTTTATAAAGCACGCACGGGGCACACCGATTGCCGTGGCGCCCGTCGACGCTCTTGAAGCAGACGCGCTGCCGCGTCACGCACATCGCGCAGGGCCTTGGCGCGACCTCCTATGAAAAGGGAATCAGTCGTCGAGGCATGGCAGAAAAAAAAAAAAAGATAGAGAAACGCACGAAGTCGGTTGGCACCTCGACGCCGGCCCTCTCCAACTTCCCCGCGAACCCTTGGCGTGCCACCGAAAGGAGCACCTCGGTGTCGTAGGCGGCGGGAGTGAACGGAGCTCGGGGCGTGGGAGCCGACGCCTTCGCAGGAGTCTAGAAAAAGTCAAGTCAGTAAGAAGTCGACGACAAGAAAAGTCGCGACTCACCGAGTCAGATTTCTTCTTGGCCGCCGCAACGGACTTTTCTGCCTTCTGGGCCTTGAGCTCGGCCTTGGCCGCCGCAACACTCCGCTCGCGACCAAGGGTTGCGGCCACCCTGCCCAACTCACTGCGTGGAGTCTTGGTAGCGGCGGGAGCCGCCTGGGCAACCTAGAAAAGAAAGAAAAACGATTAGACGATGTCTGGAAGACAAAAAGACCCGTGTCTCACCTTAGGCACTGGAGTCGGGGTAGTCGTCGGCCGCGGGGCGCTCGCCTTGCGACTGGCCTCCACCTTCGGCACCGGTTGGTGAGGCACGGACTTGGTCGACTTGGATGATCCATCCGCGACCTTCTTGATTGGCTAAAAAGCCGGATTAAGGGGCGTGGTCTGGGAAAGAGGAGTCGGCTTACCTTAGGCTTGACGCGGGTCTCGCTGGCCTGCTTCTTGACTACGACGAAGTCTCCGGTCTCCTCTCCACTTTCGGAGGTGTCGTCCATGACGATGACGGACGGGGCTACGAAAGTATGAGTAGACGACAGAGGGGGACAAGAGGAAAAACGCACTCAGATTCGATCGCGCTTTCCCCTTGGACTTGGACCCCTGTCAAGAACAAACCAACCATGAGACGAGGGAATCGCGATCGACGAACTGGGTCGCTTACCGGAAGGGCCAGCTCGTCGGCCGACGGCGCGTCTCCCTCCTGAGCCACCTCGTCGTCGACCTCCATTGCGGTATCGGCGACGTCGGCGGCTTCCTCCTCACTAGAGGGCTCGGTTGGCAGGGATAACGCCTGGATCCAAGCTGGGAGAGTCAAAGTGGTTAGTCTGACGATCAAGGAAATAAGCCATAAAAGCGGACACACCTGCGTGCGTCTTCTTGTAGACGCGCCCGGGAGGTGATCCCTGTGGGCCAGGGACCGAGGTAGCGGCTACGACAAATCAGTACCCGCGACTTCGGTGAATCGAACGAAAAAGCCACTTACGAGTAGGCGCATGAGACGACGCCTTGGACTCCTTGGGAGGAGCCGCCTTGGGCTGCTTCTTGTGCGACTTCTCGTTCGACTTCTGGGCGACGACGACCTTGCTGCCCGCGACGGCGGCAGGGGCCTGCGACTTGGAGCCATCACCCTTCCCCTTCTGCTTGGCAGGCCGGGACGACGAAGGGACGGCAACTTGTTCGGTTGGAACCGCCTGGGAGTCAATCAGAACATGGTTAAACGAGCGAAACAGAGCGTACGTACGGGCTCGACGACGCGCTTGCGTTTCTTGGGCGGCGACGACTCCTCAACTGGAGCGTTAGTGGTCAAAGGCGCAGACGCCGGCTAGCCCTTACGTGAGTGAAAAGAAGGGAAGGCCAAAGCGAACAGGCGCGGCGATCATTGATCGCCGTGACTGCTCGCTCCAGCGGGCTTAGAACGGAGCTCACCTGTTGGATCTGGCGGACGTCGACGGCCATCTGCCGCAACATCTGGTTGTAGGCCTCAGGGCTAGGCAGGTGGTGAGTTGAGTCGACAGGCCATGGGAGAGACATTGACTGACGGCATGAACTGCCGCCAGTCGATGGCAGGCAGGTTTGCTCCCGGGACAGCTGATTCGGTGACGGCTGATGGACGGTTAGCGTGGTTGAAAAGTCGCGGTAATCGCCTTGGGCGTCACTCACGGTTGTTGTCTTGGGGGCGGGGGCTCTGGTCGGGCGCGGACATGGTGGTCAAAAAGCAAGAGTGTCTCGTACTAGGGAGACTCTCGACCCTGAAAATTAAGGGAATTTATATGGTGAACATGCCGGAAGAAGTTTGATCGCGGCAGATCACGGAAGGAACCGAACAACCAAATGAATAAGACGTGGGAACATAACTCTATGTCTCCGCGGCTTTAATAATAAATGAACGAGACGTCGACTGTTGGACTCAGACCTGACGCAGTGAGACTGTCGCGGGATTGACCAGGAGGTCAAAATTAGTGTTCCTGGGAGATGATAGGCTGGCTACCAGACGCGCTCTGCACCAACTCTGTAAGGGCGTATTTTTGCGCTTTTTACAGAGTTTACTCTCGAACCACTCGGTGTATCGTGTCGCGGTTGACAGTGTTGCGCTCAGTAGGACTTAAGGGTCTACTGCCCAGTCGACGACTGTGGATAGTGTCGATGATAGCAAGGCAGTCAGACCACTACTGTGGAACTGGCCTTATGAGTCTATACCAGGCTCAGGGCTATTAGTGACGAACGCTTGGACCGCGACCATTCCCCAAAAGGGGATCTGTCGTTGCGTCGACTTCTCAAAAAGGGTCATTCTCTGCAGATGGATACTTGGGCTGAAGGGCTGAGCAATGTACGACGTTCTCAATAATACGACCACTACTGGACAGGACTTGACGTTACGAGATTGAACCAATCTTGTCGCGGCAACTCCCGGTCTTGAGTTGGACGTTTCCTCAGATCATGCCACGACGACGACTTGTCACATGTCAGGATCCATTCGATCACGGGACATTGTGGACGCGTTGCGGTGACACTTCCAAGTGTCGCGGTGACACTTCCAAGTGTCACGGCGAGTCGCGTCCATACCCAAATACACTAAAATCGACACGGCTAGATCCGTGAACCGAGCCATGTGGGGGACGACTGGCGTGCCTAGGGCCATACGGCTTCTTGGGACGCCCACGTTGGTCTCACTTGCCAAGACATACCCGTTGGCCAATCCAACACGTCGTATTCCAAAAAGTATGACGCGGCGAGTTGGCCCACATCAAAAGTATCATATGGACAATGGGGCGGGGTCCTGATCACTCAGGACCTGTCCGATCGTCCAACTTTTCAATTACTCTAAAAGGAAACTGATCTTAGATAGCGTAGCTACTATGCAGTTGTACAGGACTTTACTAAGCATCGTCGTAGACAGTATAAGTAGCACGTCGTTTCTTTGTATTAAGAAGCTTTTCCCCGGACTGTGAATCACTCTCATTTCAGATTGTTTTGTACAATTTGCGTGCCGCGTGATTCCACCCTAAGAAGTTCTGCTAGCCCTGCCCGGTCGCGACGAGTTGCTCCCTGAGCACTTGTAGCTACTGTGATTTGAGTTTGAGTTGAGACATCAGAAAGTCGGATTCGCCGCATCTGGTTTAGTCGCGGCATTTAGTGTCGTCGCCTTCGGGCTTTGTTGAGATCGTTTCCACACCTCTAGCTTGGCAGTGCGTCGACTAGTTGTGCTCGGGTTGTTTTGGTCAGTTGGCAGTGCGTCGACTTGAGAACTTTGGTTCCACACTTCTTGCTTGGCAGTGCGTCGACAAGTTGTGCTCGGTTTTTGGACATTGGATATTGGCCGTTAGTTGGCAGTGCATCGACGCGGCATCTTGGTTCTACTAGTTGGCAGTGCGTCGACTCAGTACTTTGGTTGTGTCAGTTGGCAGTGCGTCGACTTGACATTTTGGTTCTACTAGTTGGCAGTGCGTCGACTCAGTATATTGGTTGTATCAGTTGGCAGTGCGTCGACTTGATATTTGGGCCTTGCGTCACCATCTAGACGCTGTCGCTACAAGGGATCTTAATACTTCGTGTTAAGTTCTGACTTGTTATATTGTTGGTTGTGGATTGGATTAGTGTTTGTCATAACTCGACTCTTTTTCATCTTATCATCGGCGATCTTATCTTATCTTGACACGACTTATCTTATCACGGATCACGGCATCAGACGGTCCAGGCTAGGTGTCATAACTCGACTCTTTTTCATCTTATTATCGGCGATCTTATCTTATCTTGACACGACTTATCTTATCACGGATCACGGCATCAGACGGTCCGGGCTAGGGGTTCCAGGGGTTATCTCTATCGATTCGAGGCTGCGCGACATATGCTCCAGAAGGTTCTACTACAACCCATGACCAGCGTTCCATGCGGTACATAGTCTTATGACTCATTAGTTGTAGATATGACTCAGACTGGATTTGGGTATAAATACTGTGGCTACCTGGTTGTATTCTCCAGTCTTCGAATTCACTTCTCTTTTCGACTTTGTTTTTGGGTTGATTGTCACAGTGTTGGTTGTGTTCGTATAGAAGATATTGGTTGAGACACCATTGTTTGCTATATATAAATTCTTGTCGTCGACTTCGTCTTCCGCGACTATTGATCTGCGTCTATTGAGAGTTGTGATACTGGTGCTCTGTCCACCCCGAAGCCCTCGCATCTTTCACACACTGAGAAGCTGATTACGAGGAGTGTGAACGTGTTTATATTTGGGTTTACTTTCATAGTAGATTCACTTGTGAGCACGCCCTCAGCATTTCATCGCTCCGGAGGCTCAATCCTTGAAAAAGGAGGAAGCGCCCAAAGAATCTGCCAAAATCAGGATTCCAGAAGCACCCAAACACACAAGGGTGCCAGATGCCATTCAAAGGAAATTGGCGGCCGAGAAACAGAAGGGCCCCCAGCCCAGCAGGTTGGCGCAGGAATTGCGCAGTTACCAGGCCGAAAGAAAGAGGCATTCGATGGACGTATATGTTCAGATCACGGGTCTGGACTCAGGAAAAACGCGTGGAGTCAAGGCGCTACTCGACAGTGGCTGCAGTACCTGCTGCATCGATACCGACTACGCGCGGGCAGAGAAGCTGGATATCCAAGAGCTTCCGCAACCCATCGTGGCTTGTAACGCCGACAACACCGAGAGCATCAGCGGTCGGATCACACATTATGTCGACCTAAGGATGAGAATTGGTCCTCATGTGGAGACACGCATGTTCCTTCTGACGTGCCTAGGGAAGGCCCGGATCTTCATTGGTCTTCATTGGCTGATGGAACACAACCCGGAGGTGGATTGGCAGGAGCAGACGATGAGATTCAGCCGATGCCCAGAGCGGTGTCACATGAGGGGTCACGAGGAGCACCAAGCAATGATCGACATGGATGCAATTGACCTGGACACGGGCGCACCGGATCTGGAAGAGGGAGAATCGATCCTGTTGATCGACTTTGGAAAGAAGTTGGATCTACGGCTGAAGGAAACACCGGCGCAGAAATTTGCAGAAGAAGCGGAAAAAGAGAAGGAGAGGATGACCGAGGGGAAGATTCCGGATCAATACCGGGAATTCGTCAAAGTATTTGCGAAGGAATCATTCGACTCACTACCGGACCGACGAACCTGGGACCATGCAATCGAACTCAAACCAGGCTCCAAAACAGTGGACTGCAAGGTTTACCCGCTATCGTGAAACGAACAGGTCAAACTCGACGAATTCTTACAAGAGAATCTGGCCAGCGGACGGATCAGGCCATCAAAAGCACCCATGGCATCAGCATTCTTCTTTGTCAAGAAGAAGGATGGCTCCCTACGCCCCGTCCAAGATTATCGGAAGCTGAATGAGATGACAATCCGAAATCGATACCCGCTGCTGCTGATATCCGAACTAGTCCATAATCTATGTGGCGCCAAGTTCTTCACAAAGCTTGACATCCGGTGGGGGTACAACAACGTACGGATCAAAGAGGGCGACAAGTGGAAGGCTGCCTTCCGCACAAACCGCGGACTGTACGAGCCCTTGGTCATGTTCTTTGGTCTCACAAATTCCCCGGCAACCTTTCAAAATATGATGAACGACATACTCCGAGAACTGATCAATGAGGGTCACGTGGTAGTTTATCTCGATGACATACTGATCTTCACAGAAACCTTGGACGAACATCGACAGATCACGAAGCGAGTACTCGAATTGCTCCGAAAACACAAGCTGTACCTGAAACCCGAAAAGTGCGAGTTCGAACGCACGGAGATCGAATATTTGGGTGTAATTATTGGACACAATTCGATGCGGATGGACCCAGTCAAGATCAAGGGCGTGATGGAATGGCCAGAACCAAAGAGCGTCAAACAGGTCCAAGCCTTCCTCGGATTCACAAACTTCTATTGGCGCTTTGTCCAGGGATACGCGGAGGTTGCCAAGCCGTTGACACGACTGACAGGGAAGGCAGGATGGTCTTGGGGTACGGATGAGCGTGCAGCATTTGATGGGTTGAAGAAGAGAATTGCGGAGGATGCGGTCTTAGCACTGCCAAATGACACCGGCCAATATCGTCTGGAAGCCGATGCTTCGGAAGGGGCAACAGGCTCCATTTTGAGCCAAAACCAAGACGGCATCTGGCGCCCAATCACATTTATTTCGCACGCATTAACCGAAACCAAGCGAAATTACGAGATCTATGACAAGGAGATGCTTGCAATCATGCTATCATTGGACGAATGGAGGCAGTTACTACTGGGAGCCACAGAAATGTTCGAGATCTTCACTGATCATCAAAATCTTGAATACTTTCGGAAGCCACAGAAGCTCAATCGACGGCAAGCACGATGGATCACGGAGTTGGCGGAGTTTGATTTCACCTTACGACACTGGCCCGGCGCACTCAACCACAAGGCGGATCTCTTGTCTCAACGAGCGGATCATGACCAAGGCAAGAACGACAACAAGGACGTCACGCTACTGAAGCCCAAGTTCTTCCGATCACAAGAAGTCACATTCGAGGGACAGGATCAGCAGCTAATCGATGAGATCACGGCCACTCGATCAATTGATGGAAGTGTCAAGGCGGCCTTGGAGAAGTCACTCGCTGGATGGAAAAAGGAAGACAGGCTCATCACGTACCATGAGAAGCTCTACGTACCGAGGGACGAGGAACTGCGAGACAAGATCATCGGGCTACACCATGACACACCTCTGGTCGGACACGCTGGAATCAACCAAACGCAGGAGATGGTGGAAAGGAACTACTGGTGGCCAAGGATGGGGAACCAAATTCGGAAATACATCCAGACGTGCAAGGCGTGCTGACGGACCAAGACCAGAAGAGCAAGGACAGGGACTCTACACCCGCATGCAGTTCCAAACGCGCCGTGGGAAATCATCTCCATGGATCAGATTGGACCCTTGCCGGTCAGTAACGGGTATGACGCAATTCATGTGTGGTGTGACACCTTCACCAAAATGATCCATGTTGAACCAATTAGTACTGACCTCAGCAGTGAAGGAGTCGCACGATTAACCAGGGACCGAGTCTTCCGCTACCACGGGATCCCCCGCAAGATCATCACTGACAGGGATTCGCGTTACATCAAGGGCTTCATGAAGGAGACAAATCAGATGTTGGGCGTGGAAATGAACCTGGGGACTGCATATCACCCAATTACAGATGGGCAAACAGAACGCATGAATCAGGAGATTGAGCGTTATCTCCGCATCTACGTCAATTATCATCAAACAGACTGGTCGGAGTGGCTGGGAATGGCGGAGTTTGCATATAACAACAAAATGAAGATGTCTACCAAAATATCACCGTTCTACACGAATCACACATATCACCCATGGAAGGGAGTGGAGCAACGGATGGAATCGAGGAACGAGTCGGCGGAGGAGTTTGTAAAAAGAATCAGAGAAATACAAGACGAAGCAAAAGCAGCATTGGAAAAAGCAAAAGAAAAAATGAAAAAAATACTACGATAAACAAAGAAAGAAAGTTCCGGAGTTGAAGGTTGGGATGAAGGTGTACATAGAAGGGGGAAATATTGAGACGGATAGACCATCAAAGAAGATGAGCGACAAGAGACTAGGGCCATACAAGATACTGGAGAAGGTTGGAGCGGCTGCATGGAAACTGGACTTGCCGGATACGGACCGAAGACACCCGGTGTTCAACGAATCACTGTTGACACCCTATCATGAACCACCCCCCCATCGCCGAGAGAAGATACCCGTAGCCAAGATGATTGGAGGAGCAGAAGAGTGGGAAGTTGAAGAAATCGTGAAGGAACGAAAAGTCGGCCAAGGGAAGCAGTACTTGGTCAAATGGAAGCGATGGCCGCATAGCGAGAACACCTGGGAACCATCATGTCATCTTACCCACGCAAAGAAGGTCCTGAGAGATTGGCAGAGGAAACAATCAAACCCAAACACACGCATTCGCCTCCTGCCAACACTCGAAGCTGGACATTGGGACTATCTCATTCACCGCTACAAACCCAGAGACGAGCGCCTTCCGTACCCCCAACAACAACTCTTCGACCCTTACGAGAACGTCTTCAAGCCCATTGGCCTAGTCGATGAGGACATCGACCCTAGAGAGGGGGTAATGTCATAGTTCGACCACTTTTTCATCTTATCATCGACCATCTTATCTTATCTTGGCACGGATTATCTCTATCAATTTGAGGCTGCGCGACATATGCTCCAGAAGGTTCTCCAACAACCCATGACCAGCGTTCCATGCGGTACATAGTCTCATGACTCATTAGTTGTAGATATGACTCAGACTGGACTTGGGTATAAATACTGTAGCTACTTGGTTGTATTCTCCAGTCTTTGAATTCACTTCTCTTTTCGACTTCATTTTTGGGTTGATTGTCACAGAGTTCCTCAAAAGTTGTATATTGCATAAAAACTTGAGCCCTGGTTGCCAATGGAACTTCGAAGGTGCGTGTGGCTACTTTGAGATCGCTTTTATAAATCTTGCAATTGCTTGCATTGCAGGTAATAAGTTCGGGACTATTTTACGTGAACTGGGACAGAGGATTTGGAGTTGGTGAACACAAAGGATCGGCCTGGAATACCGCATGAGCGTGTCTTATCTTGTGACTGTTTCGCCTTTCGAAGGGAAAAGTCATCTCCGGATGTGGGAGACCCCCCCGGAGACATCGGAGGAATCAATCAAACCATTGCGGAAGGGCTTCGCATATTTTCAATACCTCATGCACCATTGGACGCTCTTGCTGACTCGAACTTCGGAGAATGAATCAAATGGCACATGTGGCTCGCAGAGTTCTGCGGGCGCTGATCTGTCACATCAACGCAAGTAATTCACGGCAAGCGTCCAAAAGGAGTTTGCATCATCTCTTCTCACCGTACACACAAAAGGATGGACATCTATCTATCTTCTGCCCTATTCAAACTCTGAAGCTCCGCACGACACGAGATGACACGCGGTGGATAATCAGTCGTAGAACAAGCATCGAAATCATGGGCGAGCGGGCACCGGAGAAATAGAGTCAGATGTGTCATTTTCCCCTCCGCATTGCATCAAAACAGTCGACAGGTCCTACGAAGCGATCAACCACTGTGACACGGAGAAAGTCAGGAACAGGGTCAGAAGCAATACTGGAATAGCTCACCTTGGAGCTGTGTGCATATTGCCGGTTCCGAAGGAGGAACGAGGCAGCATCCAGAACGTCGTCGCAGACGGCCCACACGTAAGGAATGCCGTTATCTGGCTCCTGAAAGTTGCGAGCGAGCGTCTCGGGACGCTTGACCCACATGCCGGAGACATCGAATGGTCGCGTCGATTCGATATCGCGAAATAAACTGCTGGATATCATTGTCCAACACGCACGCGGAATTCTTGATTTGTCGTGATATCGGAATATCATGTCGTAAAAGTGCTGGCTAGGTCGGTAACACCTCACAGCATCCCAAGTGAAGAGCTCGGTGAAGTAAGGTTGCAACGCCTGGAAGGATTTGCACTTGCAAAGAGTTCGGATATCGACATCGACAACACCGGCGAGAACGAGCAGACCCGGTCTGAGTCGAGACAGGGCCTCTGTAGCATCGGGAAACAGGGGCCAGTCGAAGAACGATTCGACGAACTTGGCCGTTCCGACCGGGTCCGAATCCAGTCCGAGTCGCAAACGAAATTCAGCGTACGATCTGGCCAGGATTTTGGAATAGATTGAGCCGGGACATCGTTGCTTGAGATCATCTTCGACGTCGAAGTACAGCGAGAGAGCCTGAGATCGACTCAGAGAGTGGATGGAAAGCTCCAAAGCAGGAGCCAGCGCGTTGTAGAGACCAGTCTCGTGGTCCTAGACGGTAGAAATAAGCCACACAGCAAATGTGAATGCGGCCACTTACGATCAGAGTTCCGTGGAGGTCGACATAGACTACTGTACCGTGCCAATCAAATCGTCAGGGGGTGTGATGCGTGACACAAAAGATCAATTCGTCAATTCGTCAGGTCCCCCCATGACATGTGACATGTTGATTTTTTCGTCAGGTCATGCATTCACCTCCCTATGAGTTGCACCCCAGGGACCTCCAATTATTACGTAAAATGGCTTCGAGGCCCCCTCCGGAGGCCATCAAACCACCCCCTACCCCCCCTGATCGGAGGCCATCCTGGAGGCGCCTTCCTAATTGGGACGCTGCCTGGCCATTTGTCCACTGCCTGCATGGTAGGCTAGGGATTGGCCTGAGTGCTGATATATGCTGTAGTAGTCAGTATAAAGCCTCAGACAATGTCTTACCTCTCAAAAGCATGTATTTCTTGCTTGCAAATGGCAGACCACTGGGTGCACAAAATTCGGGATCTGAGTACGTGAGCACTCCTCAGGTGCATAGAGCAACAGTATATGTATTAATTCAAGATTGAGCATGAGGTAGCTGTGCCCACATGCAAAAAATGAGATGTTGCTGAAGGGATGGTTTATGGCCTCCACGACCTCCCAGGGGCAGAAAAAAAGGTGTTGGGTAGCCCACAGGCATTTGATGCTTATGCTTTGTCAAAACAACAGCCCAGGATATAAATTAGATGCTGGTGCAGTGGCAGAACTAGCCTCCACCGCCTCAGGGCTGGGGACCAAAAGCGGTTATTGTAGATTCAGCCACATAAACTATATTTCTGATGTTGTTTGTCCTAGTCAGAATTTCTGGGTATTCCAGAGGGACAGGTGGCTACATAGATCAGATGCTAGCAGCAATAGCAGAACTGGCCTCCATGGCCTCCACAGCCAGTGACCAAAAGCGGTTTTTTGGGTTCAGCCACATAAGCCATGTCTATGAAGTTGAAGGTCTTCATTATAATTACGAGGGTCCTTTAGTTAGATGTCTCACCATGTGAATCAGATGCTGGAGCAAATGGCAGAACTGGCCTCTGCTGCCTCCACAGGTTATCACTTGAAGAGTCTGAATGAGATGACAATGTAACAGATAGATGTTCTCATAGATAACTATGTTCTGCTATTTATACCTCTGCATGCTAGTTTGATTGCAATAGAATGTTGAATTCAGAGAATGGGGACCGTGGAGGCACTGGAGGCGCATGCAACATCCAATCAATATCATCAATGCTATCAATGCCATCAATAGCATCAAGAGCATCACCGATCATTGGTAGATTGATCAGCCAATCAGATGATGAATAAAGGTCAAACATTGGGTATATTCATTCTTGAGAGACACAGACTACATATATCCTCATGCTGATGGTGGATTAGTGGTCTCAGGACATGCCCCAATGACATATTGCATGCTTGTCTCAGGGACATATGATTAAAAATCGGAGTTGGCAAATGAGCTGAAAGTACTCCACTGTACCACTCATCTTCAGTTGACTTTCAGTTCATTTGCAAACTCCGAATTTCAATCATATGTTCTTGAGACAAGGATGCAATATGTCACTGGGGCATGTCCTGGGACCACTAGTCCACTTTCAGTATGAGCATACATCTAGTCTGTGTCTCTCAGGAATGAATATACTAGATGTTCGATCTTTATTCATGATCTGATTGGCTGATCAATCTACCAATGATCGGTGATGCTATTGATGCTATTGATGGCATTGATGATATTGATGGTATTGATTGGATCTTGCATGTGCCTCCAGCACCTCCAGGGTCCCCCATTCTCTCATTTTAACATTCTGCAGCAATTGAACTAGCATGTAGAGGTGGAAATGACAGAATGCGGTCAGCCAGGAGAATATCTATCTGTTACATTGTCATCTCATCCAGACTTTTCAAGTAATAACCTGTGGAGGCAGTGGAGGCCAGTTCTGCTATTTGCTCCAGCATCTGATTCATATGCTGAGCTGTCTCCATAGAGGACCCTTGGCTTTGAAATAAGACACCTGACATTGAACACATAGTTTCTGCTGCTAAATCCAAAGAAACTGCTTTTAGTCCCCAGCTGTGGAGGCTGTGGAGAGCTTTTCTGCAATCTGCTCCAGCATCCAATTCACATGTTGAGCTACCGCTCTAGGGGATCCTGTGCATGTCAATGAAGATAGACAATGTCATTAACACGGTTTGTGTGGCTGAATCTACAATAACCGCTTTTGGTCCCCAGCCCTGAGGCGGTGGAGGCTAGTTCTGCCACTGCACCAGCATCTAATTTATATCCTGGGCTGTTGTTTTGACAAAGCATAAGCATCAAATGCCTGTGGGCTACCCAACACCTTTTTTTCTGCCCCTGGGAGGTCGTGGAGGCCATAAACCATCCCTTCAGCAACATCTCATTTTTTGCATGTGGGCACAGCTACCTCATGCTCAATCTTGAATTAATACATATACTGTTGCTCTATGCACCTGAGGAGTGCTCACGTACTCAGATCCCGAATTTTGTGCACCCAGTGGTCTGCCATTTGCAAGCAAGAAATACATGCTTTTGAGAGGTAAGACATTGTCTGAGGCTTTATACTGACTACTACAGCATATATCAGCACTCAGGCCAATCCCTAGCCTACCATGCAGGCAGTGGACAAATGGCCAGGCAGCGTCCCAATTAGGAAGGCGCCTCCAGGATGGCCTCCGATCAGGGGGGGTAGGGGGTGGTTTGATGGCCTCCGGAGGGGGCCTCGAAGCCATTTTACGTAATAATTGGAGGTCCCTGGGGTGATGAGTTGCTTGCAACTTGATCTGAAGCTATCTGTGTGATAGCCCCAGACAGACTCAAAACAACACAGGGAAGGGTACACAAGTATTTTTAACACTTCAGCTGAACCCCACAAGCCTTATCTATTTCCGAACGGAAAAATGAATTCGTCACCTGAGCATGTGATGCGTGACATCAAAACAAATTTCGACTTCGTCAGGCAGCCTGTGACGCGTGACTGACGATTTGATTGGCACGGTACAGTACTTGAATGTCCCGCGAATATACAGGTGGAAGATGATAAAAACTTTTGTCCGGTGGGTCAGGGCCAAACATTCGACTAAAAACAGTATCATCCGCTTCATCATCTGGGAATTCTCCGTCCTCGTCCGGGTCAAATTCGTCCCCAGAATCAGAGTCAGGATCAGTGAGGGTGGCGCAAAGCTCTGTCAAGCTCGGATTCTCGAGGTCGGTCACATCTCGTTGGAACGGTTCATCCAGCATGCCGCACAACGACTTGAATCGCGTCAGAAAGGGCGTTCAGCACGTACTTGCACACACCTGGTCAAATCTCCAATACATCACTTTAGTTAATCCAGCGCACGATAATCTGGCACGCATCCTGATCACAGCAGTCAGCTCGAGTTCAATGATATTATTGCGAATAGCGACCGTGTGACTTCATCGCAGTCTCGTTGGAATCGGCTGGCAGATGCTAGTTCAGTCAAGCTTTCGACATCGAAGCTGATTCGAGCCGAGATCTAGAGGGGAGCGCCCCAAGAGCCAGGCGCAGCCAGCGCGATTGTGCTCTTGAATGAGCCAAAGCTGGTCCAAGTTGGATATTCATCCTCGAGATCCTCCACGTTGATACCAGCCTCCTCCATCTCCCGGGTTCGGTTGAGGCGCTCATCGTGGTCATGTTGATCCACCTGCACACGACAGTCGCCGTCCACATAAGATGCCTGCATATACTACCGAAGACCGTCACCTTGGGGTGTTTTTCGTCTTGTCTGGAAAAGGCACGAAGCAGATTCCAGAACATCGGCGCCGACTGCCGACGAGTACTAGCCAATATGAACTGTTTCGTAGAGATTCGCGACGGAACTTCCTCGTCGCTTCACCCATATTACCCAAACATCGAATGATCTCATCGTTCCGAGGTCGCGAACTAATTGCTCGACCCTACGGTTTGACATGCCTGGAGAAGATTGAAGTTGTCTTGGTACCGGACGGCGGAATATCGTGCCATAACATCCTGCCAGGATTTTGGGATAGACTAGCCCAAAAAAATGCTCGCTTCGGATCGTCATCGAAATCGAAATACAGCGAGAGGGTATGGCATCGTCTCAGAGTAGATCGACAGTTGCACCGTGGGAATCAGCACGTTCAGCTTCAGACTTCGGCAGAACGCGGTCACGTGCTGTATGACGTCACGACTCAGATCTAAACCGGTTCAATTCATGTCGCGCGGCTTCAAGATGATTTCTCGATGCCTGAGCCACAGAATCATCCTAGAAACTATGTTATGTTCGGAAATGTGGTGTTCTCTGGCCCGAGTTCAGTCTCACGCTCATATGCAGAATTCTCGCCGCCAAGATGATTCCCATCTGCGACAGTCTGTGGTTCATAACTGAGAAATGGGACAGAAATGCCAGCCGGAGCATGCGTATCCTATGCTTCGATGATATGGAACAACCGGAAACTAAACACTGATCATAAAACGCGCCCTCACGAAATGCACAGTGGTAATACGACTGACATTAATGACACAACGTGAGGCCTAGTACCCGATAAGGCGCGTGCGTCTACTTACTTTGAGCTCATTTTTCTCAATCCTGATGTTTAACATAGTGCCGGTGACAACTCTGAGGACTACCATCTATTGACGCGGTTCGGACGATGACAACGCGAACAATGCATGTGGAGTGAGGTTATCTAATGACTGACTCGTCCTACGAAGGAATCAATCATGAAGGTCTCTGTGGGAACCTCCGCAGACATCGGAAGAATGAATCAACCACTGACCAAGGGCTTCACCGCATGTATTTAATGCCCCATGCATCATCGGACGTTCTTGCTGACTCGTACTTCGGAAGAATGGACCAAATGGCACATGCGGCTCGCAGGCTTCTGCGGGCGCTGATCTGTCATCTAAGCCCAAGTCATGCATGGCAAGCGTGCAAAAGGAGCTTGCATCATCTCTTCTCACCGTACACACAAAAGACATCGGTCTTCTGCTCTATTCAAACTCTGTAACTCCGCATAACACGAGATGAGACGCGATGAATAATCAGAAACAAAGCATGCGGAGGAATGATGGAGCGGAGAAAAAGAGTCAGACGTGTCATTTTCCCCTCGGCATTGCACCGGAAACAGTGGACAAGTCTTACGAAGCGATCAACCACTGTAACATGGGGAAATTCAGGAACAGGGACAGAAGCGGTACTAGAATAACTCACCTTGGAGCTGTGTGCGTATCGCCGGTGCCGGAGGAGGCACGAGGCAGCATCCAGAACGTCGTCGCAGACGGCCCACGCGTAAGGTATCCCGTCATCTGGCTCCTGAAAGTTGCGAGCGAGAGTTCCCGGACGCTTCACCCATATGCCGGACACATCGAATGGTCGCGTCGATTCGATATCGCGAAACAAACTGCCGGAGATCATCGTCCAACACGCCCGAGGGACTCTGGATGTGTCATAGTATCGGAATATCATGTCGTACAGATGCTTGTGAGGTCGATAACACCTGACGGCGTCCCACGTCAGGAGCTCAGTCAAGTAAGGGTGCAGCGCCTGGAAGGCTGCGCATTTGAACAGCGTTTCGAAATCGACGTCAGCGACACCGGCGAGAACGAGCAGGCCAGGTACGAGTTGGGACAAGGCTTCGACGGCGTCAGGAAACAAGGGCCAGTCAAAGAACGATTCGAGAAACTTTGCTGCTCCACCCGGGCTACAATCCAGTCCGAGCCGTAAACGGAAGTCGTCGTATGATTTCCTCATTATTTCCGAGTATATCAGCCCAGGGAACCTCTTCTTCCAGTCGTCCTCGATGTCGAAATACAGAGTGAGAGCCTTAGATCGACTCAGAGATTGACCGCACAGGTCGAGCACAGGAAGCAGAGCGTTGTAGATGCCTGTCTCGTTGTCCTAGACAGCAAAATCAGGAGAATAATCGCCAAGAACGCAGCGACTTACGATGAGGGTGCCATACAAGTCCACGTAGACGATTTGTATGTCCGGCGGAGACACGACAGGGAGATGATTGAAATCTCGGGACGTGAAAGCAGGACCGAACATGCGAGTGAAGACAAGGTCATCTTCTTCTTGAGCGAGCAGCGAATGTTCCATCGCAATGAGCGCCATGTAATCCTCGGACCCGACGGTCTCTCCACTGAGACGCTCTGGGTCGGGCTCTGGGTCGGGCTCCGGCGCAGACTGTGGGGCCGCCTTTAAAGCAGGCTCGGAAACAATCTTTGGAACAGGCACTGGGTCGGGCTCTGGGTCGGGGTCGGGATCGGGGAGACTGGCGCACAGCTCCATCAAAGTCGGATCCGTCAAGTCGCTCACGTCTTGCTCAAGAGGACTGTCGAGTGTTCCGCATAATGCCTGCAGACCTGCTAAGAGAGACAGATGGAAGAAAGAAACCTTCGACGGACCTGGCCCATTCTCCAGAACATGACCGGTATCGTACCTGGACGAGAGAGATGTGCTCGTGCACTGCAGAGACTGAGTACTCAGGAACCGCCTCGTTGCAAATGACACCCACCGCTCGACATCTCGGAACTCTTCGTGGAATGGCCTCAAAGGAATCGGCGACTCTTCCATCTCGGTTATGTCGAAACTGACCCGAGCCGAGATAGCGAGCGGGACGCCCCAGTCACCCGGTGCGGGGCGTGCTTTCGTGCTTTTGAACGAGCCGAATGCACTCCAGCGCGAGAACTCGTTGTCCAGTTCTGCGAAGCGAGGGCCAGCCTCTTCCATCTCGATCCGTTTACTCTCCCTGCGGCTGCTCCGAACGGTGTGCATGTCATCGGACAGGTTATATAGCACAGACTGTGCAGACAGGGAGTCGAGCGCATTTGGCGAATCGGGGCCTGGCAGGGCTGTTTCAAAGACAGGTATGACCTCAAAAGCTCTGGTCGTGTCTACGACGCAAGGGCCGTGGCGCCAAGCGAATCGAGGCTGGGTAGCAAGGCGGGGACCGCACGCACTTGCAATCGGAATGTATTGTTTCGGCAAGGATTCACGATCGTCGATGGCACACACAGGGAACACCGACGCAGGGAGGTCCGGCTGGTGGATGTAAATGGACACGAGAGCCAAATACCGGCCATGGGTTTTGACACGTCGAGCAGCAGACGACAGGAGAGGAGAGGCCAAGTATGAGACCGAATCGACGGTCGAGGGCGTCACCAGAGCCCACAGGGTGCGACGTTCTAGGTTCATGGGGATGGTGGTCGTGTAGACTTGGAGTAGTCGTGAAAGAACGATGTCGGCGCTTGTGAGACTGTGATAGAGTACCACTACAGCTCCCAACAGACGATCGGAATCTCTGTGGGAGACAGTCGAGAGACCCAGAGAATGATGTCCGCTGACGAATAAGCAACGAGTCAAGAACACAACTTCCAAATCGGGCTCCAAACACGATCCATTTCCCACGAGTTGTAGTGTTATACACACTCCAATCTACGATCCAACTGCCCGAAAACGAGAGCTCAAGATGAACGATTCATTGTATAAGTGCAGCCACTTTCGCACTTTTGAGCGCTGCATTGACAATGACTTCCAATCCCTCCCAGCCTGGTCTGGCACCTAAAGCTGCTCAGCCTTTCATGAAACGTTCGGAGATCGTCCCCTTTGGCCTTCTGCTGCACTACCTCACAGATTCGGATATCGGGAGTACAATCCACAAGCTCGATCCTACCAAAGCTCACCCGGCCTTGATCCTCGACGTGACCATGGTGACCGACGAGCACAATCGCGAGACCGGCGGAGTAATCACGTTGGCGCCTCTTTCATCCAAGTGCCCCAATTGGCGAGTTATAATCGTGCTGTTTGTCTGATAATGCCGTCTCACCTTATTTCTCAGGGGACACCCTGGCTGGCAGCAGACCTCGAACCACCCGATCGTGTACAACCTTTCCGCGCAGTGCACTTCTGTCAATAACCCAGATGCTCGAACGCGCTCTCACATCTGGATCGGGGATCCCTTCACCGTCCAATTCGAATTTGGATCTGTGGATGTGGTATACAAGATGATATCTATGGCAAATCACAAGACTCCTCTGGGAGAAGCGGTGAGACGGCAGAATAAGTACGGCTACGAAATGATGGCTGAATGGTACAAATTCTGTGGTGAGTAGAATCTCATGTTCTTCGACTTCTCGCTGCTAATCCTAGGTCAGGTTTCCTGCCCGGTCGTGAGAACAACGAAAGTAAGCCCGCCACATCCTTCGTCGCCGGTTCTATGAAAGAACTCCCGACTAGGAAACATACAACTTTTTCGCGAGATGAAAGGCAAACATCCGTTATTCTCCGATAGAAACTGATCCACTCATTTGCTGTAACAGTCTCCGTCAGTGTTTCGTGGTCTTCATTCGCTTTTCTTTGACACTGGATACAGAACAGACTCCCTCGGCTCTTAAAGACTGTCCGTCATCCGCTTCGATGACCTGGTGCATTATTAATATTGCGTATAGGGCAATCCGCCGACTTTCAGGATCATCGACCCGTTGGCATTCGACAATGTGAGTACACCCCGCTCTCCCACCACTGTAACGCAATCGTGACAATGGTCAGGATATCCCGGAAGAACTCAAGCATATAGCCTGGAGATATCGGCAATGGAAACAAGTGCTATCTTGATCTCCCTTCGCGTCTCAGTCTTGAAACTCACTCAGATGTCTCGCGCAGAACCCTCATTGGATGAACGTGGTACCACCTATCACGCCCAAGGATCTGGTAAAAATTACATCAGAGCCAAATTTCAGACCTACTCATGCTCACGTACCCGCAGAAAACTGTGCCCTACACGGTTGATTACGTGCTGTCTATTTCTCGAGGCTCTCAGGCTTTTGATTCATAGGATCCACAGTCCCCGCCCATGCGGCCCTCCCGCGCACAATATGCGATAGCGGTAAGATACTCGATCGTGAATCGCACACAAGTCATCGAAATGTCTGCTTTAGGCGTCTTCAGGCACCTCGGTAGATCTATCTCAATCATAAGACCGTGTTGCCGACAGTCGGCTCCACAGGGACCATCGGGCCCCGCTTCTCCACCGCTTCCGTACTCGCCCTTCCCACAGGGTAGGCACAGACATCGTGTTCGACGACTTTGCTGACATTGGCATCCAGAGCAATGGAACTGGCAACAGCAATCGGGCCCAAACGTGCCAGCTTTCAGCTCAGGGTCGATCGCCGATACGGGTACGCACCAGCCGTACATACTGCTCTGATGCGCAGCTTATTCTGCTTTCATAGCGCATTTACATCCCATGTATTACAACCAACAACTCCAGCAGCCGTACCAGCACCAATCGAACTACTACCAGCAGGAACAGCCATTTCAGGACCAGCAGTCGTACTATCAGCAATTCCAATATCACCATCCGCCGCAGCAACCTCACATGCAGGAATACCAGTACCAACTGCACCCTTACCAGCAGCGACCAGCGAGCGAATCGATTTTCGTTCCCAACCCGGTCGCTCAGTATCCCAATTCGCATCAGGTCCCATATCCTCTGAACGCAAATTCAGCGGTGTTTGTTCCATCTGGCCAGATGAACTTTCAGCCTAGTCATCCACAAAGTTCAAGCAGCTATCCGGTCAATACTGCACAAGGTATATGTCGATTGTGGCAGCTTTGATCTGTATCCTCATGGAATCGACAGATTTCACTGCCCCATCTCAGCAGTATTATGGACAAGGGTATCAGGACAGTCAAGACGGATCCTCGACTCAGCACTGATATTGTAGTTATATGTAGCCTGTTTTAGTTGTATGAATTCAAAGATATACTGTATAGAACAGAAAAGCACGCGCTGGTTGTCATCCCCGGATCCTCCATCCATCTCCTTTTCGGCTGACTTTCCCGATCCCTCCGAAATTTTCGCGCACGACGAGCCAGAGCCCGGTGCTGCATATCACGTCCTTGAATTCTTCGGCCGCAGCGTCAGACCGTTTCCTGCGAAGCTGTCAGAACCCCGAGATCGCAATGGAAGCAGCAGCAGGAACTGGCGGGCATACCAGGTTTCTGAGTCGTGCCCAACGGCCCCTGCCCCGACTTCCGCTTGCGCACAGCTATATGCGCCACGTCGACATCTGGCAGCGGGAACGGCACCTTGAGCATGCCGACGACCTTAGGGTGATGTGGTGTCGGCGACATCGTCCGAGCCTTGGCGCGCAAGATCTCAGGGTTCTCGCTGCTCGGATCTACAGGATGGGGCTCACGAGGGTGAGGATGCGGCCCGATGCGGCGCACCTTGACGGTGCACGTCCAAGGCACCTCCGAGGCCGTATTCAAGCTCGAGCTTTTCTGGCGCGACATGACACTCAGACTGAGCGCTTCCAGGCAGGGAGCCTCGACGATCCTCTTCTTCAGCATCCCCTCAGGCTGTTCGCCTCTACACCTATGCTGACCTTCCCTCACTTCCGCCCTAAGCACGTCTCCATGTCGTTCACGATGCTGAGGTCAAACCTTTTGACAATTCCTTCGGCTACAGAGAACAGACCTATCCCGCCGATTCTGACTGGTACGCGAGTTACATTGCGCCCAAGCAGCGCAGTTCAGCCCGAATCCTAGAAGCAGGCATTGAGTCTAAGCCGATGGAGTCAAATCGAGGACTACGACAAACCGTACAGCCTCTCATACATCCTTGCCGCATCCCCACCGGCCATTTGCACGCGAGAAATCCTCAGGCATGCCCATTCTAAATCGTCGTCATGAGCTCAAAGCAGCGCCTTATATTGCCCACGACTTTTGACGTGATAGCCCGTTGCAGATGTGAGCATAGAAGACTTGGGATAGGCAAATAAGTGAACTATCCAAGCCCATGCTAAACGACTGGAGCTCGTCAAAGTGTGATTTAGGTGTTTGCAGAGTGTGACGCCTCACGTGCGCAGCGCAACTGTGATCCGATCACAACAGGATCACATGATGTTTGATGCGTCCGTCGCAGCTCGGATACGAACACTCAATTGACGGGAGACGTCTTTGAGGCGACTTCTCAATGCCTGAGCTACAGGATTGCATAAATTTTCCTGTGAGATCAAGACTTGGTTTGCTCACTGACTTGTGTCAAGTCCCATGCCACGCTATCTTTGTAACTCTCCGGGCACAAATAACTCTCACACTGGATGCACCGATGGGCATCCCCGACCAGAGTATGAGTATCATATTCTAATATGTACTGGAAAGACAGCGCGTAATCGGAGCCGAAATTATCGTCAAAAGTCGCATGTCGTGCCAACCACCTAGTGGCATTCTACTTACGTGACGTGAGGCGTGTTTTCCGAACTGAAATACTCCTCAGTCAACCCTTCCATCCTTTGAATTTTTAACGGCGCGCACGATTACTGTGAGTAGTGACTCACCTTGGAGCTGTGTTCGTATTGCCGGATCCAGAGAAGGTACGAGACAGCATCCAGAACGTCGTCGCAGACGGCCCATGCGTAAGGCTTCCGTCGTCTGGCTCCTGAAAGTTGCGAGTGAGCGTCCCGGAGTGCTTCACCCACATCCTGGAGACATCGAATGGTCGCGTCGATTCGATATCGCGAAATAAACTGCTGGATATCATCGTCCAACACGCCCGAAGGATTAAATACCGTAAAACTGCTGGTCAGGTCAGTAACAAATCACAGAATCCGACATGAAGAGCTCGGTGAAGTAAGATTTCAGCGCCTTGAGGGCTCTTCACCCGGACAGAGTTTCGATATCGACATCGACGACGCCGGTGAGAGCAATCCGTGAAACCAGCCTATCGTAAGTGCTAGCTAGAGCGTCCTCGCGCGTGGAGTCGAAGACCTTGTGGAAGATTTGGACGCTGTTATTCGATCCCACGCCCAAGAAATGACCAGGACATGAGCACGACTGTCACTGAGATCATGGAATTGGATCATCCCAAGTCACAGTCACGCAGTGTCCACAAGGCCGGAGATTGCCGATCCAGGGAGGGGCAGTCTAGAACGAGATCCTTGAATCGCAAGCACATTCGGTTGAATTTTTCAAATCTAGTCGGTACATCGCCTCTTGCCGATATACACGACTGTGATTGTGGCACACATCTCATAGAACACGTCCGTCGGAGCTCACCAGTCGTTTTCTGCGGCGACGTCCGCCGCGCACCGAGGTTTGACCGACCTTTCCGCTCGACAAGAAAAAAACTAGGCGGATTTGAGTATGCCCCCTCCGAATCAGGAGTGGGTGAGTGCTCATGACTCGCTTGAGGCGTAATCCTGACGTATGTCCTTGACCGCAGTTTAATTGAACCACATCAGGGCCCTGCCCATCACTCTCAGCGCGTACAATTCTTCGCACCAGCAACAGCAGCCGCCGCAGTACCCAGTCCACTGGTATCAAAGTTGTCCGCAGTATCCCGGAAGCAATGCCTTGAGTCTGAGTGCCTCGGTTCTCAGTTCATCCGGACAGTGGGATGGATTCCCAGCCCAGTTCTTCGCAGCCGCTACTCTACTATTCCGGCGCAGCCGTTCCAAGTGCGCAACATTCATTCTTGCATTCATTGTAGCTTTAATTCAATGGCCCATTGGATCGGCAGTTCCCAGCGCGTCGTCTCAGCAGTATTATGAATGGGAGGATAACAATGCATCTCACAATCAAATCTGATATCGCCGGGGAAACAAATCACAGGCCAAACCAGCTGTATCACTTCGTTTACTCATGCAATACACGGTCTCTATCCCAATACCACGCATGAAAAAAGCAACGAGTTTTAGTCATCCCCGGATCCTCCATCCATCTCCTTTTCGACTGACTTTCCCGACCCCGCCGAAATTTTCGCGCACGACGAGCCAGAGCCCGGTGCTGCATATCACGTCCTTGATCTCTTCGGCTGTCAATATCAGACCGTGTCCTGCGAAGCTGTCAGAACCCCGACATTGCAATGGAAGCAGCAGCAAGAGCTGTCGGTCGGACATACCAGGTTTCTGAGTAGTGCCCAACGGCCCCTGCCCCGACTCCCGCTTTCGCACAGCTATATGCTCCACGTCGACATCTGGTAGCGGGAACGGCACCTTGAGCATGCCGACGACCTTGGGGTGATGGGGTGTCGGCGACATCGTCCCAACCTTGATACGCAAGACCTCGGCGTTCTCGCCGCTCGGATCTCGAGGATGGGGCTCACGAGGGCCAGGATGCGGCCCGATGCGGCGCACCTTGACGGTGCACGTCCAGGGCACCTCCGAGTCCTCCGGATCGCTCTCGTCGCCCGAATCGTCCCGCTGGTCGTCCTGGTGCAGCACCAGCGACCGACGCCGGTCGTTTTTGACAGCCGAGCTGTCCTCCGAGGCTGGATTCAAACTCGAGCTGCTCTGGCGCGACAGGGCAGTGAGACTGAGGCGCTTAGACGCTGGGGAGCCTGGCGGGCCTTTATTAGAGCGTTCTCGCTGGCTGTTCGCCTCGTCTGTGCCTGCCTTGGAGTCTTTCGCGCGACGCCTGGGCTTCCCGCGCTTCCACTCGAAGCGCACCTCGACGTCGTTCGTGATCCCCGGCTCGAATCCCTTGACCATCCCTTTGGCCACGGACAACAGCCCCGTCCCGTCGCTTTTGAGCCATTTTCGGACGACCCACACATAAAGTCCCGGCCGGCCTTTGGGAGGATGGACCGGGGATGACTGTGTCGGGAGGACACCGAGGATCAGCGCACGCGCCGTGGCCTGTGTCGGCTGAGGCGCGGGTATGTTTTCGGATGGCATCTCCTGGTTGCTGCTCATCGACGTTCGCGGCGAGGCGACTGGGAGCGCATTCGTCGACGACGAAACGGCTGGAGACCGAAGCAACCCTGTTCCAAATCGGCTCTTGGATTTCGTCGGCGTTATTGGTCCATCCTCGCCGTCCTCTTTGCGCTTGAAAAGCTTACCCAACCCAAAACGCTTCTGCGGCGTTGGAGTTGGCGGATTGTCGCTCGGGGGTTCAGGGATGGAAAAGGAATGCGCGCTGCTCGAGACAAGCGATGCCTGAGACGACGCAGGGTGTTCTGGAGTCGCCGGTCGACTGCGCTGTAGCGGTGGGGAGAGCAGTCCATTGCTGGCATTGCTCATCACACTCGATCGCTTCCCAATATTCCGACTCGGAGCCACACCTAGCTCACCGCCATAAACCTCGATCGGCTCTAGCATGGCGAGATCCAGCATCTCTATCCCACGCCTCCCAAATCGCGCGATCTTGGCGTCCGTGCCCGCGTCGACGATCGTGTTCGTCATGACATTGTGCGCTTGCAGACTGTACAGCGGGACTATCATCCGCCGGCTGCTGATGCTCGAGGAGACAGAACTAGTGCTGACGGACGAGTACGTGGACGAGGCGATAGATCTGTTCGACGGCGATCTGGACAGCGGCATGCCGGCGTCGTATTGAGAAGTCGCCCCCGCGGAGACTGGCACATTGATCGGCGAAGAGCTGGGCGGCTGGCCCAGATCGAGCGACTGCCGCGAAGCACTGGTCAGTCCGGACGGCGCGCGGGTGTTTGGAGGGACCAGTTGGACTTGTAGATTGAGAGGGTGGTTGTTTTTTGCTGGTGGCGGTCGCACAAAGATGAAGGTCTGCGGGATGTCCGGTAAGCAATGTATGTACGTCCAGAGTGTGAGAATGGCGCCAAATTATGAATCCGCAGACTAGGAAGCAAGATCGCCACGACTAGAATGTGAAAACGCGAGGCGATTGTTAACGCCGGCGACCACGCAGGTGGGCAGGACAGCATTCATTCTTGATCAGTCCACGCGCACAGAAACATCAGATCGTGTACAACACGATCAAAACGAGAGTAGCTTCTGCATCCTCGTCCCGGTTCTGAGACATCCGGCGCAGTGCGCAGTGACAAGCCCCCGGGTGCTATGCGGCGCAGCGCAGATGAAATGTTAAGTTGCCTAAACCTCTCATGCGTGAATCATTCCGCAGACTAGTCTGCATCGCCTGGGCTGATCTTGTTCCCGGTCCGCAGGCAGTGGCGTCAACGCCCAGCGTCGGCGCAGACGACAATAGAGACAGATGGAGCAGGCAGAGAAAGACCCACCTCATTCGGATACTTGATTTTCCTCTGTTTAGACGCTCCGGGATCCTCCACCTTGACTTCGGACTTGACCTCAGCGCCGTCGGCATCGTCGACCTGGTCCGCGTCCGCCCGGATCACTGACGTTGGCACAGGTGTCGGCGTCGGCGTCGGCGCCCTGTTGAGCGTGCTGAGCGTCGAAGGGAGGAGGTTGGAGAGCGACGAGAGCATCGCTCGCTCGTTCACGGTGTTGTAGTGTTGAGAAAGAAGAGTGAGCGCAGTCGGGCAACAGACAAAGCGAGACAAGACACAAAACACATTATGATGGTGTGTGAAATAGAGACGGATCCGTCGGCTATGCGGCGTGACTTCATAACACGACGTAAGCGTCTTGGCGAACCATCGATCGTATCCCCTTCGGGAGGGTATTTCCTGCTTTGACTGAACGATCAGGGGCAAACCCACGGACGGGGGCTTTCGTCAACTGCCCTTGCCTTTAAAACAGCTAGCTAGCTCGTAGTCTACGAGCACGGATATATGTACTACTGTGCGTTTGTCGGAAGGCGAGATATCTTACACTCCCGCTTGGGCCGCACAAAACAGTCGTTTTCGGACCGGCTACTGTAGATCCGGCTTGAATTCGATTGATAACTTGATATTTGCGGCCTGAAGCCTCAAGGGGGGACGGCCGACTTGCCTTATATCCGCGATCGGGGTGAAACCCGGTCAGTCTGACGATCTGTAAACACCGTGTCCGACGCACGTATCCTCCGGGCCGAGATTCTGTGCATCCACCATGCGCCCACAGTCAGCATCCACCTTTCCGAGCGGAACATTTCCTAACCCGTTTACCCGTAGTCAGCAACCCTGACACAGCCGGCGCGGGGGTCTGGCCCTGGATCCGATGGATAAGTAGATAGCTAATCCACTCGACGATGAGCCAGGCGAGTTTATTTTTTGGAAGCCCGTGTAGCTGAACAACGGTCTGACGACTGAGATTGTGTCGCACCTCAGCGCTCCTCCCGCCTTGGAGAGGCTTGGTATCAGGAGTCGACGACCAGGTAAAACAACACGACGATCACTGTTTCAGAGATGACGTCTATAACTATCCATCCCGCGATACTTACTCTAGATGTTCATCTCCGACCAAAGGCGCAAGTGACGCGTCGGTGACGCGTCCAAAAAGCGGCACATCGTCAAGTCAGCTGATCGATCCTTAACGCAAAAACACGTGCAGATCTTCCGGTCTGGAAATTAGAGCAGCCCAACTTCGATTTTACTTTGGTACAGTACGACTTGAACACAAAGCTACTACCTCATGCAGTCAAGTCACACGCGCCGGGCCTCAACACACACCATTCCGGCTGCAGCGAGTTGGCAGCGACACCCCGGGCGCGGAACCGGTACACGACCTCGTGCAACCTCGGCAATGCCTTCTCCACATCTCCACCAGGCCCGCTCCAATACAACTCAGCAGGAGAGGCCGCGCGGGGCCAGACGGTGCTGTCGAGGTTGGCCGGGCTGCTCTGCTCAGTCCACAGCAGGGACTGTCCGCCCAGCACCAGGCTGTGCTGCGCCTCGGTCAAGTTTGCCAGCGGGTCAAACGAGTACATCTGCGGCAAATGATTCAAGCTGTACAAGGTAGGATGGGACGATATGGAGAACGCACGCTCTGCCATGTCTTGTATGGATCGCACCAGCTGTTGCCAGCGGGGAAGTTGCCGACCCAGCCACCGTGTCCGCAATCCAAGTAAAAGTAGTTCGAGGCAGCATGCACCACACGGAATCCGGCCTTGGCGACGGCAGCGACGTCATCTGACGAGATCCACACGAGGACTACTGTGTCGTTAGCCAGATCGACCGGGTCAGCGAGTACCATCTCTGTACTTGGGTGAGTCCCTCACAACCAAAGCCAGCAATCCAACACACCTTCCCAGACGACGGGAGTCTTCCCTACCTTCCTGATCGCTGCGTGGTTGACCTGCGTGAAATCATTCAAGGCTTGAAGGAATGTCTTGTTCTGAGCAGCAAGCTCAGCCTGCGTCTCCTTGTCCTGGGTGTAGCAGTTCTGGTTGATCTCGTCGCCCCCGGTAGAGAAGAACGAGCTCGGGAACATCTTGGCTGCAGCAGACAGCAGACCGGCAGTGAACTTTTGCGTCGCTTCAGAGGCAAATCGCAGCTGGCCCGCGGGTGGCTCGTTGGCGAAGGATGCCCAGGGCGTCGCTCCGGGGCAGGCTACGTGCTCGGGGAACGCGCTGGCAATAACAGCTGTGTGTCCGGGGGTGTCGATTTCGGGAATGACATCGATCCCGCGCTGCGACCCAAATCAGCGTTCAGAAGGCCGATCAAAAGAGTCGACACACGGCAGCGGCATACGTGACGATGTTCTTGACGTCGTCGGTGGTGTAGACGGACGACGGCGAATAGGCGCCCTTCTCAGACAGCACTGTGTACCCAGGAATGACGACGGGGAAGCTCTGGCTGTCCACCATGTGCCAATGAAGAGTGTTGATCTTATCGGAGACCAGTCATCAGACCGGTGCAGATTTAGATATCAGAACCCAACCCACCTTCACCCAGCTCATCGCGTCAATGGTCCGCAGAATGTCAGCGACGGCAAAGTAGCTGGCAGGTGACCCATCAGATACATCTAGAGTGCTCCAAGGTCAGCTGCGACGCACTTTCGGGCCGTGTCCAGCATGAATCCACGGTACGGATAGGCGGGTTTGTCCGCAATCGTGAACGGCGCCTCCAGCGTGTACGTGTTTCCGTTCAGCTCGAACCAGATCTGCTCGAACGTCGCCAGTCCGCGGAACAAGCCGAGCGTCGAATTGGCAGAGAGTGTCGCGCCGGTGCCGTCGGCGGGGACGAGTAGCGTGTAGCCTTCGGCGCGCTGCTCGATGGGCGCGATCGCCTCGGCGGAGATGCTGTTCGCGGCAGCGCCCTTGCTCAAAGTCAGGGTGAGCGCCGGCAGGCTCTTGGCTTGGGAGATCGCGCTAGCCGACGACGCGCCCCGGTCAACGACGAGCGCGGCGAGTTTGTCCTTGGCGAGGAGGCCTTTCGTGCGGGACACCGCGGCGACGAGGTCTGCGGGGGGATGCGGGAGGGCGATGTGGATGTCGAAGGAGTGGGCAAGCTTGAGCGGCGTCGTGCCCGTCACCAGACTCGACGGCAGGGGCCAGAGGGCCTGCACCTGGAGTGCTGGCAGCAGAACCGCGCTACATGCGAGGAGTGCCGACGCCTTCATAGCTGAACGCGCGGAAAGGGGGAAGATGGAGAAGCGGAGAAGGGTCGGTTCAACGTCTCAAGAACACCAGCTTTATAAAGGCAAAGCAGGTTCTATAGATCATCTCGACAATCCCGCTCGATGGAAGCATGATGCATACAGCCTGACTATATGGCCTGGCGCCTGACCATGATTGTCTGAATTTTAGTTTCACATGCGGGATGACGGAGAGGTTGTCAACGAGGAGAAGGATACTCCGTCCGATGTCCACGGGAGCAGACCCGCGTAAGCAGGCACATATAAAGAGAGACCGGTCGGAGAGTATGGGATAATTCAGGGTGGTGGAGGACTCGGTCTTACGACAGCCAACCGTGGACATTCCTCGACGACCCCGGATGAGACCGACCCTGACCATACTCGGCAGGATGTCTGACCCGGTTATACGTATGAAAACGACCTCGAAATCCGGAGTACTTAATTTTTAACCCTTTCGCCAACAGCAGGCCCTTGTGCGACCCTCCACTCCAACTATCATCCTCGTCGAGATCATCCTCCACACCACTTGCATTGAGCGAGAAGGGTCTTCTCCAGCCGTCCAACGCTGATAGATGGCAGTCGTATCACGGCTTTGCGAGCGATGTGATGAATAGGTCGATGTTCGCTTCTTCTAGCCGCACGGGCGATTGAAGAGTCCAGTTGGAGTCGTAGCAGCGAGAATTATTAGGGGGAGCGTATGTGCGGTCGATGTACGTGATGAACATGCGTGAAGTCTCAGGGCGCCGGGAGGAATGAGCATCGCGTCTATCATTGGCTGTATCATCCGAACTGTATCAATACTTTCCAGACTCGCACGGCTGCAGTCGGCAAACACCGCGAGGGGTGATTGTCACAATGATCGGAGCCAGAGATGATGAAATCATTGATGAGATCATCTCGTGGCCAACCCTATGTATATGGTCAGGATGTTCACATGGACGCTATGGCATGCGAATTTTGGTCAGAACAGATTGCAGAGCCAAGATGAGGCAATCTGAGCCATGCTCCAAAAGCCAAGTGGCGATAGGCATACGACAACTGGAATGTCGTTTCTGGATAGCTACGCAAGTACGGAGAAGCTGACCCCCATCGGCGTGCAAATCCAGCACACGCTCGAGCTTAGATAAGGTAAATTGAATTGCCTCTATTAGAACCTCCGTTCTCCGCACAGCCGTGAAACGCGATCACGTGAGTAGTTTAACCTCCACACATCAGGGGCGCCTGCTTCGATGCGAGGTCATATTAGGGGCAGTCAAATATGCCGATTCACGATCTGATTCAGGAAGCGATTCAAGACGCGATTCAGAAAGATCCTGAATCGTGGGAGAATCGCATCACTGGCGAATCGAGCGTGAATCGTCGAAACACCTCCAGAGGTGTTTCAACGACGGATTCTGCTTCTGCTTTAGCTTCACTCGACTCGTTTACAAGTCCATTTATGTCATAGGGGCACATGTTTTGTATCTGTTTACGTTTTTACGAGTGATGTGAGCGGCACAGTCACACTTCACACCGACTATGGCCAAGGCCAAAGCTTCCAACAGCGACGCGACGCGCGGGGCATGTGGAGGGCAGAAAAGAAAGAGAGAGAGACTGATTACATAATGGAGGAAACATAAGCCCACTCAAGAGAGTCAAATTGACAGTAAAGCAGAGTGCATAACATGGTGGTCAAAAATAGAAGCGATTCACTTACGATTCAGAGACGCTTTGATGGTGATTCATGTGTCTAAATCGTATCTAAATCACGACAGAAGCGTGTCTGAATCACACTCTGAATCACGTCTGAATCGGCATATTTGACTGCCCCTATTGAATGGGTCCTATGGTTGACAAATCCGAATGGCGGAAGGCCGCTTCGACTGCGTGGTCCTTACAGGTCTCGATTGCCAAATCCATGGGGTTGGACACCCTTCCAATGTTCTAGCAGCGTAGCCCATCTTTGGTCACTCGAAAGGAGATATCAAGCTCTGGAGCTCGTCCGTCCGCCCCCCTCAATCGAAGTTCGTTATTGTGATGTTTCGCCGATGAGCTCCCGGGTGGGCGTGGGCGAATCGGAATCAATAGAGAGGGGACAAGAGCCGATGCGTGGCCTTGGGCGATGCGGGCGTGGGACTCGGGGTAGCGAAACCTTTCAGTCGGTGGCGAAAGGTGCCAATAAGTTCCCCGTTAAAGTTCCGACGCGATACTGGTTCTTTATGTTATCCTGCTTCTCACGAACCGTCAAGCTACTGTGATCTGAGATTCATGTACGGGAGCCGCAGGCGTAGGTTCCTCGGCCGAACATGTTTGACTATGAGAAGTGTGAATCCAGCCAAGCCAGCTTACAGCACGTGTGCGATGTTCAAGTTTCTTCAGTCACGAGACCAGCATTTGCGAACCCTCCCAATGCCAGTCTCGAATGATTTCTACCCGTGCACAACGCTCGCCGTGGCTGACCGAACCAATCTGATTGAAAAGAAAGGTCTTACGCGAAACGAGGTTCTGACATTCACTGGAAGCGACCTGCAAGTTTAGGTTCTATGGCACGTTGTCCAATGTCAAGAAGCGGGCAATCGAGCACGGTGATAATCCTGCGGCGATGCGCAGGTTTTCCGAGCCCACGTTCTCACCGATGGATTATCCTTATCGGAAGTTACATACGGTACCTCCACGCATTCGGCGAGCGCGCGCCACCGTTCCACTCCTTGGCCGGTGGGATGCTTTCGGCCAATCTAATATCCTCAGGCTCTCGGTGGGATCGGCGTCGGGTAAGCCAGTGGCAGCGCAATCGCAGGCTACGGGGGATGTAAACGGGGCTCGTCATTCTCGCATCGTATTGCCCGAGGTGGGTAAGTCATGGCAACGGTTCCGAGCTCCCTGCCACGCAAAGATAGAACACCAGATAGAAATCGGGAAAACACGGGGACGCGTGTCGCGGAGCCTTTGCAACACAGGCGTAGCGCTCACCGGCGGTTCAGGAAGAGTGATGGCCGGGTGCGTGGTCAAAAATCGAAGGAGCGGTCTGACAGGTTCGTGACATGGACTTTACAATTGTGTGAGATCAAGCGATTACAAGGGTCTATGTATGCGAAAAAGTCTATGCATCTACTGATGCTCTAATGCTTCTCGATACCGGGTGTAGACCTAAAAGCCTCCGCAATGATGGCTAGCCCAGCATCGAGCTCCTCCTCGGTGATCGAGAGCGGGGGGGCCATCCTGAATGAGCTGCCGATCCCGGGGATGCCCAGCACGTTTGCGCTCAGCCCCAGCTCGAGCATCCGTGTCGCAAGCGCAGTGGCCAGCGCCTCGTCGGGCTCCTTTGTCGAGCGGTCCTTTACGATCTCCATGCCCTGCATGAGGCCGAGTCCCCGAATCTCCCCGATGCAGCTGTACTGCGCCTGCAGACCTAGCAGGAAAGAGCGGAATCGGCCACCGAGGATCCCAGCGCGCTGTGCAAGGTTATCCCGCTCGAGCATCTCGAGCACTCGGAGGCCGACTGCAGCAGGAAGAGGGTCCGAGACGTGGGTGGTGACTAGAAAAGAATCAGTGGTTCTGTTGGCAGTCTGACAGCTAGCTGAGCACTCACAGAAGGAGAATCCCCGCTCATGAGCGACCTGTTCGATCTCGGTTGACGTCACCACGGCGGAGAGTGGCAGGCCGGCCCCGAGCGTCTTCGAGAGTGTGAGAATGTCGGGGACGACTCCGTCGTGCTCGAACGCCCAGTTCTTGCCGGTCCGGCCTACTCCAGTCTGGGCCTCGTCGACAATCAGAAGCATGCCGCGACGCTCGCAGTGTTCTTTCAGGCGGCGCAGGTATCCTGGAGGAAGCACGATAACGCCTCCGGAGCTGAGGATAGGCTCGACGATAACGGCCGCCAGAGAGCCGACAGATTGAGAATCGATCATCGAGAATCCGTAGTCGAGCTCCGCCTTCCAGTCATACGTGCCGTCAGCGTTTCGGAAAGGACTCCGGAAGCCGTTCGGGGTCGGCAGGGCCAGCGAACCAGGAGCAGCCGGCCCGTATCCCTTGCGGGTGTGCTGATACGTGCTCGACGCCGCGCCAAAGGTAACGCCGTGCCACGAGTTGGCAAGTCCTACAATCTCAAACTTGCCAGTGTATAGTTTGGCAATCTGGGCCATAGTCAGCACGAACAGTTCTTCACAGTAGCATCAACAGGACAAACCCGAATCGCGCACTCGTTGCTCTCCGCGCCAGTTGATAGAAGCTGAACCTTGTCCAGACCCGCAGGTAGCATGGAGCTCAGCTTCGACGCGAGATCGACGACGGGCCGGCTGAGCATGCCGGAGTACAAGTGGTCGAGGCTGGCGACTTGTTTCTGGATCACCTCCACGATCTCCTTGTTGGAGTGGCCGAGGATGGCGCTCATCTGCGCCAGATGTCAGTCGAAAGCACGACAGTTGGAGACAAGACGAACTTGGCCGGACGTGAAGTCGATGATTTGCTTGCCTTCTGAGTCGTAGAGGAAAACGCCATCGGCGCGCTCGATGATCCTCCGGATGAAGGACCCGCCGCCAGAGTATCGAATGAGAGAACCGTCGGCGCGTTCCCAAAAGTCAGCGTTGGTGTGTGCAGCAGTCATGAGTAGAGGAGACAAGACAATTGGGTTGTGCGACAGGGGTTCGTCCTTTTATGGTAGGCTATACCTTCCCCGTCGGGAACGCGGAAATCCCAAAGGTGGAAAACGGAGAAGAGGAGAGCAGGAGAGACTGCCGACGCTGATCGCTTTCATATGTTCGGCTGAAGGTTTAGAAGGTCTTGCACGCCGGAAAATGTATCGGAATTTTTTGCGGGGAGCTGAAGTTGATCATCAGTGGTCATCAGTCCTTGGGAAAAGAACTCGCCTCCGCCAGATAAGATAACAATTTACCGCGGTATGGGCCATGTAGAAGTTGATGGTTCATGAAGTTTGCGAACGTGGTAAGCAGACAGCGGATGAGATCATGAAAAGGCCTACTAATCGGAGGCTGATCCACGCTGCAGATTGTAAGCAAACAGCGCCAGAGGGTAGATAAGCACCTGCAGCTATCTCATGTACAGGGCCCAGATCCTGAGCTATATCCGCTGGCTAATGCCCTCACAATGTCCTGGATGTCCTCGCTTTCTTTCTGGGGTGGACTGTCCCCTTATGTCCCCCGGCCAAAACTGGATCCGCGGCGGCCGATCCCCGCTCATACGATCTATCGGTTGAGATGATGTGATGCCCGAATGACGGCGCCAGACCAGATCTCAGGTCGAGCCAGAAAATCGCGCCCCACCCGCCGAGTGGAGCGAGGGCACCAAGTACAAAAATGTCTGGCTCACCAACATTGCATATGTTTGTTTTTTGATTGACCAGCCACCCATCTTATCTGGGAATGCCGTGACCACGAGGTGTCACGGACAAGTCACCGTATTCTCTTTCCCCTCATTCCATCAAAGCGATCGCTCAAGTGTCCTACTCTCGTCGTGCCCGACGGCCAAACGAATGTCGCTCCCCGAGGAACTTGCAAGCGAACGTCCATACCGGTCCCGCAAGAGCCGGCCTTGCGATAGGTGTCGCTCGCGTAAACAGCGGTATGTCAGCCGAAGAGACTCTCAGACTGACCGTTGATGGGTGGGGGATACGTAGGTGCATAACGAAGCCGAGTGGGACGTGTTTGAATTGCCAGATATCCGCGGTAGCTTGTACGTTCGACTCGCCAGCGGCGGCGGATCTTCCTCGGCCCCGAGTTAAGAAGCCCCCGGGTGAGGCCAAGTCAAGGAACGGCGGAGCGGGAGCAGGAGGAGCAAGCGGGTCGGGTGGAGGCGCGATGGGCATGTCGTCGGGCGGGATCCCGTTGTCGCCCCAGAGCATGGAGGCGGGCTCAAGCAGGGCAGCCCAGCAGCACCCTTTCAGCGGAGCTTCGCATGGTGGCTCTAGCACCTATCCCAGGAGCCCGTCCCTCTCCATGCCTGGACCCGTATCCCCAGTGAAGCTCGAGACGCATCTCAACTCCCTTCGTGACGTCAATGCCGGGACGCCTCTTACGTCTTCGTCGTCGTCGTCCCACCTCGATCTGGGCGGCGCATTCTCGAATATCATGCTCAACTGGGATCCACCCTCGTACCTGAGCCAGGGGATTAACCAGCTGTCGATCCGGGAGGTACGTACTTTCACCCTGTTTTCTTGCCCCAGGCACCACTTCATTTGCAGGAGGAAGACTGTCGCGCACTAGACTCAGACGCGGATGACGAATTCGAACCCCACTATGTAGGCAGGACGGCTGAACGAGACGCGCTCGTCCTCAGCGCGATCGCCTCAGTGCGAAACTCATCGAGCTCTGGTCGGCCCACGACCCCAGCCCAGGCTAACTTCCGGGTGCGGCAAGTTTCCACGAACCAACAGGAGCCGATCTATTTTCTGTTCGAACCCCCGCGACCGTATGGAGAAGACACAGTCGGCAGCTACACGAGTGAAGAGCTTGTCAGCCTGTTGGGCCCCAACAACATCCAACGTCTTCTCCGCAAGTAAGCGAATCGACTGACAAGATCGCCCGTTCTCACACAGATAGTTACCTCAATATGGACGGCGCGGCAGTTCCGATCTGGCGTGCGACAGATTTTGCCGAAAACCCCCAGAAGCGGCTACCTGCAGGCTTGTTCTGCGCCTATGTTACGCGCGGCGTGATATATGACGATCAGCTTCGATCTCTTGCTCCGCAGGCTTGGAAAATTACGACGCTGACAAATCGTGCGCAGTCACGCAGTGCGCGAGTCTCAACCATCCAGGCCAATCTGCTGGATTTGGACGGAAGACCTTCGTTGAATCCAACTGGGAACTCTCTGCTGCTGGGCCAGGTTCGCTCCGTATCTTCCTTCTCGTTCCACTTGGGCTGATGATTCCAGACTATTGCCGCTGCCAGACTGATGGGGCTGCATCTGGATTGTACCACATGGTCGATACCCAATTGGGAAAAGGCTCTTCGCGTGAAACTGTGGTGGGCTGTTTTGCAGCAAGACAAATGGTGCGTGACCGTGAGTGCAGCTGGATCCACTCAATATCAACTCTTCTAGGGCTGCTCTTTGCTACGGTCGCTCGAGTTACATCCACCGAAATGACTGGGATGTTCCTCTACCTCCATGCGAAACGACCAACGACTATGTCTTTGTCGCACAATGCGAACTGACATTGATCTTGGACGAAATTCTGTGCGAAGTTGATGTGCAGCGCCGGCCTGCCGGGGAGATATTCACACCGCGAGACATTGTCCAGCGCTTGACCCAGTTTGGCCTTGATCTGGACTCGTGGAAGCGCAGGTTTGACTCGATGGGGCGGTCTCACAATGGATATCTTCCACCCGGATTTCGTGCGTAACTTGATGACTTCGATCTTCTGCCCTCACATTAACCTCAGGTTCACTGAACCTTTCTTATCTTGGTGTGGCGCTGCTACTCGTTCGGAGCGTCCAAGATATGGAACTTCCGCCCAATGCTGCACACTCTGCACACGAGAGTGCTCTGAAGATTGCGGAAGAGGTTGTGACTTTTACGTCGAATCTGACTGCTGATGATCTTCGCGGTTATTTTACAACCTGTGAGTACTAATTTGGGCTGCTCCATGATCTCACTCACACGCCCAAGTCTCTGCGTTCCACTTTTCGACCTGTTTGATGCTCCTCATCAGACTTGTCCTTCAAGCTGATCCGTCGGATCATTCCGATGGCGCACGGCATCGGATCCTGCACCTTTTGCGGGTGTTCATCTTCTCTCTATCGGAGGCCAGGCAGACCGTCCCTGCGTTCGAGCTCGCGGATCTGGCTCTAGCACGTGCCCGGCATCTGCTTCCGTTGCTTGCCAAGAATACCCCGGAATTCGCGCTCGCCCTAGATCCTTTAGGGTGCGAAAGTCGAACCTGGTTCCTGATTTCTGATCCTCACTCGCGCTTAGACCCCCAGTCGAAGACACCCTGAGCACGATGCCGGATATTCCATCCCCGAACATGCCTGCGAATTACTCCACGCACGATCACAATGTGCTGTGGCCTGAAAGTGGGTCAGGATTGGCTGCCTTCTTTCCAGAGGTGACGCAGCCCGACTGGGTCTCGTTCCGTGACTACATCCACCCGCTCTACTCCCAGATCGTACCTAACGGGGGTTCGTATATGTAATTTTCACGACTGCCTCCGATCTGGCTCGAACCGTCGTCCTCTCTCTCTTCTGCTCTTCGCTGTTGTCGTTTTTCTTCCAGGACTGTTTTCCGATGTAAAGTATGCTACCATCTCAAGCTTCGATGTTTGTTATACATGTACTAGACCAAGGTACTTTTTGGGCTATCAATACCGGGTATTTATTGTTAAATACTGAATTTAGTACGTACACGGAATATGTGGCTGTAAAGTATTGTAATCCCACGAGTTCGTCCGATCCCTCCCTGGTCCGGCTAGCCTGTGGTTGCGGATCTTGATCGGACATACGGAACCAAGAAGGGCAACGTGCAAGACGCGGTTGGCTCCGCTGAGTCTGTGCGTAATAATAGCCTTTGCCTCTGCGTGGGAACGGAATCAGCCCCAGCGCGCGGACGAGAAGGCGAGCGTGTCCGCAATCCGGCCCTCTGGGCCACGCACGACATATCCGGAGCACGATGCTATGTAAGACAGTGCGGTACTCGGAGCTGGAAGCCAAGGTCCATCTTCTCATGGTTGTCACGGCAGTTTTTTTTTCACGGACATAGCACGGACTAGATCGACGGCCGGAATCAGCGATCTGTGATTTGCGAGTCGGGATCTTTGATGACTTGCTTAGGCTAGTCAGCGCTTTGCGCATTGTAAGTACTGCAGGATCATTCCGGTGCAAAGCATCGATCAACTACGTCGATACCGCGCCATGTCGAACTGCCACATGGTCGAGTCCAAGCCAAGATGACTGCTGATCCTGACCAAGGTTTGAGCTCGTGATACTTCCGTGGCTCACTTGAGATGTCAGAGTCACGTGCTATATGTTTTGGAGTTGAACCAAATCCAACTTGAACATTGATCGTCCCGAAAAGGAAACATACGACAACGCCTGAGGATGTGCAAACGAGAGGATAGCGGGTAGCACATCTGCACTATGCATAGTAGTTGGCACCCCGATTCTCATGTATGACGACACTTCCCTGGCTCGATGTCGCTCAGTTCTGTGGCGTCCAATCTCTGTAACAACTGCTGTTCGGTGTAAAACGAACCACAAGAGCATTCCTCACCCAAGTGGCGTCGTGTTCTCCGACTCGATAACCCTCGTTACGTCCGGAGTAGACTTGAGCTATGAAGGGTCTCTCAAACTGGAACCAGGACCGCAAGCCGCCATCAATCAATCCAAGTAAGCACACCGACCTCGGACTGATCCGGCTGTTTTGTCTCCAAGATCTGTTCTCTGGTGCTCGTCCGCCTATTTATGGGACTCTGCCTCGCTTTCTGTGTTTGTGTTGACTTGGAGCCTTGGCGTCGATTTTTCGCCGATTCAACTGTGGCGGTCGCACTTGTTCCCTTCACACTCCCTGGATTCAAGTCGGGACCCATATCGATATGGAAGGCTCCACCGCCGGTGTTGGGGGAGTTGCGCTTTTATCTCCATTGCGCCTGTCACCTCAGCTCACTATCTGGACGACAAATTGGCGACAAGGGCTGACCAACGGAGGGTTCCGGTTGGGGCGTGTTTTTTCTGTTTCCGGAATGGCTCAACGTCGAGGTATTATCGAGTGTCCCCGAGCTCGCCGATGACGATTGCAAGTCCCAGGCACACTGTATTCATCCTTGGGCCCCGCGTCTTCTGCCGATCCGAGCTAGCACGGGAATGAGCCTGGTTCCAGTGGCGTCTGGGTCTGGATTGGACGGAAGGCTCCAGTCTGGTACTGCTCGGACACCGACCGCTGCAGCCGAGCAAACGCGTCCCGTCCTCTTGGGCCGCGTTTCACCCATTGCAGCCAGCACTGTCATCCATCGTTTTTGCGGGCTATGATTGCCCGTGTCCCAATGCGTCTGACGAAGCGGCACGGGGCGTCCTCGCGTCTGGAGATGTGTGTCGGTCCAGGATGGATGATGGTGGCAATCGGTGATTCCAGGAGGAATCCGGCTGCTCAAGCGATCGAAGTGCTGGCGCGCAGCCAAACACCGATTGTTTCGGACTGGTCGGGTGATTGGGATCGATTTTTCGTGCGGCGTGTAAGACGGCAAAAATGGTCCTGTAACTGTTGACCTCACAGATCGGATTTGGGATGCGGTGACTGCAGTTTCCAGCTCATCTGTTTCTCCCCTGCTTTTCTGATCTCGCGCACCTGGCGGGTTTCTAAAAAAAGCAAAACAGGCAGCTGAAATGGTAGGACCTCAGGGTTTGCGGAAAAACGTGCTCGCATTGACTGTTCCAACAGGATCCGACCACTCTGCGGGTCAAAACGTCGGGTGCAATCTCGAATCTCGGGTATAATTCACAGGCCATTGTGTTCCATGTTACCGTGGTACCTCGACCTATTAGCAACCGCTAATCTGATCCTCCGAGCGTGTGGCAAGGAACGGAAGGCTTCTGGCTGTCACCGAAAGTGGGAATCGCGCCCAGGCTTGGCCTCTCACTCGGGACTCGCAGTTTGTATGCTTTTGGGAATGTCACGCTTGTTCCGTGTGTACACCGGAGAGCACTCGGTTTCTCAGACTAGCTGTGATAGGGCTAGTGCGAAGATACATGCAGTTTCCTGTTCAGCTTCCACAATTGTTGTAGTCGCATGTGTTGAGTGGGACCAGGCAACCCGGGCCAATGCACAGACATTGGCGAGTAACTAATGGCGTGCGACATGAGGATCTCCGAGCGTGGGTCTGATGTATCAGGCTTACCAAGGCACACGTTCGAGACGCTCTCACATGACCAAGTCACGATTCCCCAACGAACGATCAGAGAGTTGTCAGGACGTCAATTGGAAGTTTGGGCGCCTTTTCAAGTCTGCAGCCATTGCGCAATGGGTGGTGACAGGGCACATCGCGCCTATCTTCCGGGACCATCGACTCCTTCACAGCAGTCATCCATCCATCTCTGATAACGTGTGGCTTGACCGTGGCTGATTCTCAGTCGATGATGATGAAAAAGAACGGAAGAACGGAAATCGCATCGGGAAGTTCATATAGAAGGCCGTCTTTGTTCGTTGCCAGGGACTGCTTAGTTGGCACATGGGCAATTCAAGAGGTAAAGTGCCTTTTCATTGCGGCGTCTTCAATGTCGTTCGTGACGGATGAGATGTGTACCTCCTGCTCGGGCGAGGTGTCATCATTCTGCACTCAACGGCCTGGTGAGAGAAGTCTGCCTGGAATGATCCCAGACTGGCCCCGCTGCTTCTCGAGGTTCTGCCGAAGCCGCTATCATTCCCCATCTCTGTGGCTTGGTGGAAAACAACAGCACGGAGCGGCCCAGAATACTTATGTGAAACAAACAGGCCGGGGCTGATACCCGAGTAGCGCGTAGCGCGCACATTAACGGTAGGCTCGAAAGCTTGGGCCCAGGCCGAGCCGAAGTGGGATGCTAGTCGGCTGGCGAGCGCCAACGCAGCTGAGGATAGGACACGGACTGGGGGATGGAGCTATGCAAGATGCAGATCGTGGATCAGGAATCATGCACCCCTTTGGGCGTGCTTTCCTTGACACCGAATCATGCAGTGGCACCTGAGGCAGTCCGAGCATGAAGGCTTTCGGAAGCCTGGGGGAGCTGGGCCGATGAAATGATGCTGATGAAACTCGAGTATGTATATGTATCGGGCAAGCTCGCACCCTCCATCTTTCCCACTTCCCGCTCGCGAATGGGCCGCTCGTACGACGAAGACCCGCTCGCGGCGTTCACTGCCCCGCCTCCGAATGAAACTCCGGCAGAACGTGAGCTGCGACTGCGGGCGGAGGCCGAAGCCCAGCGCATTAGTGATGAGATCGACGCCCAGCTACGCAAAGAGCGCGAAGAGGAAAAGAAGCGCAAGCCAGTCAAGCTGTTGCTTCTAGGACAGTCGGAGTCGGGCAAGACCGCGACGTTGAAGAGTAAGTCCGTCATTCGATCGGTTCGTGAAGTTGGCTCATGAGCATTGGTGTTAGATGTGAGGACACGCACACGGCGATCGGTGCATGCTTGTTATCTCCTCTGACCACATCCCAGTTCCAACTTCTCTACTGCAAACGACGGTGGCAAGAAGAACGCTCTTCATGGCGCTGTGTTGTGTTGCTCAACCTCGTTCGTAACGTCAATGACATCCTTGATCTCCTCGGCCGCGAGATGGCCTCGGCCACGACGAAGACGCCGACGCTGCCCAGCGCTACCACCTCCACGTCTCAGGCTCCCTCCACTGCGATTCCCACCTCCACCTCCTCCTCCCCGTCGGCCTCCCCTCTCTCCTCGGACGACGAGCCGGAGCCCGAGGTCGACAAGCCACCTCCGCGGCGACAGAGCGCGACGCTCGGCGGTCCGCGTTCACCCAATCTCCCACCACTCAAATTCAAAGACCGCCACCGCTTGCTGAGGCTGAAACTGGTGCCACTGCGCCGCATACAAGCGGATCTCGAGCAACGCCTCGGCGCGGCCGCGACGGAACTCTACACAACCTCAACCACGTCCGCGGCCCCCTTTGAGACCGTTCCCGGCGGATCGCAGGCGTTCCAGAAACGGGAGAAGGAGTTTAGCATCAACTCGACGAACGGGTGGAAGAGTGCGTTGGACAAGTTCCGCTCGGGAAGGAGGCGCTCGGGGGATCAAGCACAGCGGGGCAAAGCGAGAAATTTGGAGGATGAAATGCTGAGTGTCGTTTCTGGATGTAGGGAGGATATCAGGGCACTATGGGAAGATCGGACGGTTCGCGAGATGCTCTCCAGGAGGAAGTCGAGGATCGAGGACTCTGCAGGATTGTGCGTTTCTTTTGCATCATCGTCTGTATCACATTGACTCTTACTCCTCCAGCTTCTTGAACGATGTTGACCGCATCGCACGCGACGACTACCAGATCACAGATGACGATGTCATTCGTGCGCGTCTGAGGACTCTGGGGGTGCAGGAATACCGTGTCACGTTTGAACACGGACATTCCGCTGGAAGTGAATGGCGGATGTATGATGTGGGCGGAACGCGTAGTAGTGTGAGTGCAGAGCGTTGCATACCTCTCTTGTTCGCAATTGATCGAGGAGCAGCGTGCTGCGTGGTATAGCTATTTTGACGATTGCGACGCCATTCTCTTCCTTGCGTGAGTGTGTTCCCGCACATCTATCCGCATTTCACCTCATCTGGACCAGGCCTGTTTCGTGTTTCGACGAGAAACTGGCTGAAGACCGGCGGGTGAACCGTCTCGAAGACAGTTACATGCTGTGGAAGAGCGTCTGTGCATGCAAGATGCTTGCTCGGACCCAGTTAATTCTTTGTGCGTCACAGGCTTTACCGAGAAGGCCGTGCTGATCCGCTCCCAGTTCTGAACAAGTGCGACCTGCTTCAAGCAAAGCTTATGCGTGGCGTGAAAGTTCGCGATTCGGTCCCGAGCTTCGCAGACCGTCGCAACGATGTAGCAACGGCAACACGGTGTGAGTACCCCATTCATAGGGGCCTTGGCCGAAGTGCCCGACTTCTCGGTCGCCTGATTGACCGTTCCCTTCTGCAGACTTCCAGCAGCATTTCAAGGAGATCCAGCGGAGCAACTCGCCTGTTCAGCGTCCCTTCTACGTTCATCTTACTTCGGTTATCGTGAGCGTTTCACCCCAACTTCGCTCGCCGCCTGCTGATGAACGTGCGTGCAGGACACCAAATCCACCGCTGTCACCCTGGGTGCTGTGGAGGAATCGATACTGCGGGATCATCTCCGCCGAGCGGACCTGATGTAATCTAAATAATCCATGTATGTACTGTGTAACACACGATCTTCTTGTCTGCATATGCAAGCGTCTCTGATGTATCTACGGTACACCTCGTATATTACCTACCTACTGACCTCTGCATCTAACTTATCGGACCGATTTACCCTGCAATTCGGATGTCCGTCCGAAAAAAAGCGGATGGCAGCGTCACGGTGGTGTCATGTGCGATCATCTCTGCAGCGAGTTGCGCAACAGCTGGTCATGACTGCGATAAATCCCTCACTGCCAAGTATGCTCATCGCTGGTCGAGGTTGCCGACACGCTGCTGAAGAATTCACAATTCCCCCTTGCGGCCCCCTCGTTGCATCGCGCATGGTGATGTGAGGAGATTCTTCCCAAATCACCTCCCCACAAAATGACGTCAGAGCCCCAAAGTGTCTCTCGTCTAATAATTCACGCATGCGCGTGACCTCGGCAGTTACGTATCGGCCATTTCTCATTTATGAGGTGTCCTCCGACCACCTCATTTGTCTCCTACTACCACTGTCACCTCCCCTCCCTCCCCCTTCCCAGCATCGCATCCCCCGATGTCCCAAGGTATGCCGCTCATCCATGACGGTCCGGCCCCATAGGATCCCCTGCCGCTCTGTCGATGAGCAGTGGGATGAAACTAACTTCACCAAGGCCTCGATCTTGATTACCTCACCCACAACGATCACGACATGGCCAACCGCCCACCCACTCCCTGCGCCGAAAACCCCGGCCAAGTACGCGTTCCCGCACATCGCATCCTCCATGTGTGAACGCTGATCATGATGGCAGGTGTACCCCAGATCCGATCCTGCGAAAGGTACATAAACCCCCCTGCACGATCGTATTGCCAAGAGATACTGATGCTTCGCCCACTCACGCAGCGGCCCCGCTGACCAACTCCTCCGAACGCTACCTCCCGCGCTACGTCGGCAACCCGTACCTGATGAACGGCGCGTTCAAGAAGCTGGACCACTCGCTGGGGGAGATCATCGCTCTCCTCGAGCAGGAGGAGGCCAACTCGCTCCTGGACGAGGAAGAGAACCCGCTGCTGACCAAGTTCAAAGACTGGCGCGACGAGCTCGACATGATCCGCGCGTCACAGGGGCGCAGCTCTGCCAGTGCGTCGTACATCCAGCTGGCCACGCCCTCGCGCAGCCGGTCGCCGGGGCGCAGTCGCTCGCCCACTACCCGAGAGGGCGGACTGTTTGTCGACTAAGATTTCACCTTTCTCTGGGGTTGGAAGAACTGCTTGCGTCGAACAGAATTTGAAGAAGTAAAATAAAGAACATAACGAGCACCTCGTTTTGTACTGTAGCATCATATGGACTTTTTGCACATCCGTGTCAGCCTGAGTTGATACAAGTCAGGTCAGGTCATGTTAGCCCCGCATAGCATCCAGCACGATTCCTGGCGCCGAGGGGTTTATGGATATCCGCCATTTCAATGGCAAATGAATTGACAGTCATCCAAATCAACGGCCAAAGCTATTCCCAGTACAAAAGATTCCAAACCGCCTGGACAGTGGCGGGTTCCTGTAATGGTACGCCATCCCTGCTGCTCCGTCGTCATGATCTCCAGCGTCGCCCATGGCAGAGTACGAATTTCCCCGAGCCAGCGCGGCTCTCGGACCAGTCATGTTGAGATTCTCCGAATCTTCGTTCGCCGTGTCCTTGGCGGAGAGACCCCCACTTCTGCGCGCCCGAGCGCCGGATCGCGCATTCGGGTTCAAGTTCATGCGCCGACGGCGACTCGGACGCGCTGGCTCCGAAATGGGCTGTCGCGAGCAGCATTTGGCGGGCGATGGATGTGCGCGTGCGCGGCGTTTCCGGCGCCAGATCGGCGGCTCGACAACGGGCGGGAAGGCGTCCGGCGCTGTTGTAGTGAAGAATCAGTATGTGCCATCTGCACGTGGAAAAGCTGTGGCAACGGACGTGGCATGCGGGTGTCCGAATTGGCGATGGGCGGTGTTGAGTTGGGCGCTGAGGGCGTGAGGCGGTGATCGATTTGTTTCCGGGTCCCGAGAGAATTGCAAAATTGCGCAGATGGAGCTTGAACGAGGAAATTACTCGACAAGCGGTACAGCAGGGCTGTTGCTCTTGCTGCATTGATCGCAAAAATGACAAGGTGTCAGACGGAAAGAGAACAGAATATATTCAATGAGAGACCAAAGTTTCACCTTGAAGAGAAGGATCCAGATCGCCTCGGCGTGTTTCCAGCATCCGGAGCAGGGAGAAATATGCGTCTCGTAGCGGCGAGGGAGAGGCAAATGAATATAGACATATTCCCGCCGCTTCCAAGGTTTCGCGCGCAGTCTGTTCTGGTCAGTAAAGCTCGCGGAGGATTATACGACCTGGTTAGGGCATTCACCTCAATCAGTCGAGTTATCTGCATTCACAACATGAGCATCAGACAACAAGCTCAGTAAACGGCAGATGTGAAGAAGAAAAATGACCTTGGACCCATGCTTGCAAAATTCTTGAGCGGACATATTCTGACAGCGTAAGACCTGTTCCACGGCGTGCATGAATTCAGGCCGCGAAGGAGTTAATTTGAGTGCAAGACAGAGGAGGACAGCATCGGCCTGTAAATTCAGCCCGGAGGACTGGCCGGATCGATGCCGCTGCGAGGTGTCAGCGGGAGCAGTGACAGTGGAAATCATGGGTTGAAAGGGCCGGAAGCAGCGGATTGCTGTTGGGGTGGAAGCTGAACGGGTGAGGATATAATTTGTTGTGGTCCGCTTGGTCGAGTCCCGATGGCTTGTGTTGTCAGAGCGGTGACGCCGGCATAGCCCGAGTCTGTGGTCTCCCAAGCCACTACCAACATCAGGTCTACAACTGTCTTGGTTCTTGGCATCATTTATGCCCACTCATATTCCGAGAGAAGGGTCTGTAAAATAACAGAGAACCTCTCTCCGAGGTCTATCTGACAACTTGAGGGAAGAAGCCCTGTACTCGAGTGGATCAAACAGCGGTTAAACATTCAACATCAACTCAAGCCGACGATGGATAGCTTCGCGGCACTGGTTCACAATAATAAAGCCACCCGGGATCTCCTTTGTACGATTGTGGACCAGGATCCAGAAATCCAACTTCACCCGTTCGGAATGCTGATGTTTGACTTCGCCGTGGGTACTTGTGGAGTGTGCCTCCGGTCGCAGGACTGCCGCGCTTGAATGGGGTACTGCTAACCCGGGCCGTTTACATCTGAATAATCTCCACCCGCCGGGGGCTCAATCCCTCCTCAAGCAGAGAGTCTCGCCATATGCATATTCTGGACGGTCAGACCTGCCTTCACTCGATGTACGCCAAAGTGACATTGCACGCTTTTCTCCTGTTGCGTTCATCTCATGGTGGGTTCATCCAATGCGTGCCATGACTGCTTCATTGCTCTGATTTCGGCGAAATGAGACGCTCTCAAATGAACCACATGGGTTCGCACGTGTGAGTAATCCACAAATGATCGGATCAACTATTCTCATCACAGATTCTCCCCTAATCCGCTGCTGCGATCACGCTATCGATAACCAAGCGTTAGGCGTGGACACCATTTCTTCATTCATATACTTACACGTTTCAGGTACAAAAGCTTTTCGATATTCAACATTCTACCACTCGCTCTGCAGGGGCTCCTCCAGCTGCTTCTTCGCCTGGTGCTTCGCCTTCTCCTTGTCGACGTAGTCAAGCTGGAGAGCAAGATCAGCAGCAATCCAACGCAGGTCCCGAGTTTAGGTGAGGAAAGGAGGGGTGGGGATTTAACAAGGTAGCTAGAGAAGACACGTACACCCTTGGTCTCGACGATGCGGTCGACAAAGAGGCCAGTGAGGCCAGCAAGGATCTCTTTGGCCTGAGCGTGGCTGTCGGGCTTGCCGTTCTCAGCGCAGTGCTTCTCGTAGGCCTTGGCAGCCTGTACAGCGTGTTAAGTAATGCGGGGAATAGAACGCCACTGGGGGGAGAGAGTGGCGCACCTCGAATGCAGCAGCGCCGGCGATCAGCTCGTGGGACAGGGTGGCCTTGTGGGGGGCGTTCACGACCTGTGAGAGGGACGTTAGCTTCGCGCCGCATCCGCCGACTGCGCCCCGCGATCCCATCGATCGCGCACGCAGCCGGAGTCAGCTGGATGCCCACCTCGTTGTAGGCCTGGGCCTGGTCAGACTCTTCGTGGTGGAAGAAACCCATTGTTCAAAGATGTGTGTGTGAAGGAGAAAGGAGAGAGGAGTGGGTGAATGCGTGGCAGCCAGTGTCAGTGACAGGGCTTATATACGCCCCAATTGTATGCACCCCAATTGGGAATAAATGGAGCATCGCCTCTTGGCCCTCGCGACGAGCGCCCCCGTTTGTGGATCGCATCGCCCTGAGATGATGATGCTTGAACGAAGATCCGTCGGTGGCACGTTCCTGCTTAGCGCGGTAAGCTGGGAATGCGAAGTGCGTTCCTTCTTCCAGCGACTCCATGCACACATATCTCATCTCACTCATTGTACAAATAACTTTAAAGCATGCGAATCCCGAGTGTCACTAGCAGTCTCTCGTCCCAGGCATAGGTGCTGCCTCTTGCGGTACATGATGGCGCTGCCCCAACCAGGTGGCACTGGAACGGGGATAGAAATTCTCCGAAAGACACTCCTGTGCAATGAGTAACAGCCATGTGGTCCTGAAAGTCTTCTCTCCGCCCATCGCTGTCACACATACGCACCTCCAGGGAACGAATGACCTGGGATGAGTCACTGGGCGCGCGATGATGGTCCACGATAACGCGGACGTTGCCCTCGAATAGTATGTGATCTGCAGGCCCAGATCCCACCAGGTCAGGTTGGAATGGACCAATGACGTCAAGGAACCTTAGGTACCCAGCCATGCGCAGCTGATTGCCGGGCATCGTTCAGCAGCTTGTCAACTCGGCTTCGAGAATCTATTTGTAGAGAGAATATGAATGAGCGGCGATGATATTACAACAAATTATAGCCAATGGTCACAATGCTCCTGGCATAGTCAGGTCAGCCCGTACTGATGGTCGAATGAGATCAAGTTCCCGGGGATCCACAGCCGAAAAGTCCCAGCTCTTGACCCGTCGAGACGCGACTTCTCGCTTGGAAAGCCACACATGAAGCAGCTGCAGTAGGTCTTTGGTCTGAGTGTTGTGTCAGCAACTCGCCCATCCATCAACAGATAAAGGTATGATCACCATGATGAAGATCCCAAATCCAATCGAGTTTCGCCACCAAACAGGATCGCATTCATCCAATTTCCGCATGTCGCCCCAAACAGCTCTGGATACAAACTTGAGCGTCTGCGTCAGGTCAAGTTTCCCGTCTTTGATAGTCGGGTCGGTTACTCGACGCCAGATCTCCGTTGGAGAATATCTGCGCAGAAACGGAGCGGGAAGGAAGCCAGTCGAGGTCGGACGAATCGCGAGGAAGCGTCGAAGAAGAGGGAAGTACGAGGATATCCGGAGAAGGAGCTTGCCCATGGCGCTGGCGATCAAAGGTGACAAGAGTGCGCCTCCAACAAGCCTACATGCTTTCCGTATGTCCACCGAAAGGACCGCGGGCTCTCCCTCGACCTCCACCTGGATGTCGGCACGATCGTTGTCCTCGTTCGGCTGCTGGGCCGCCCTGGCCTCTGCTGCCCGTTCCATGTCGTCCAGTATACCCTGGAGCAGCCCTCGCAATCCGGGCTGGCGTCTTCGGGCCGGTCCCGCCGCTGGGTTCGCATTCAACACCCAATTCGAGAACTTGTTGAAGTAGTGTCGGTAAAACCTCTGGCAGAGCGGCAGCAAGATGAACCCGAATACGAATGGAGATGGTGGCCATGGCAGCTTTGCGCCCTCGCCCGTAAGACTGGAGTGAGTCAGATCTAGCGACTTGGACTGGTGCATCACGGCTGGGATGAAGGCGAATGTAGGCCAGCTGCCTAGTGTAACCGCCGTTATATGGCCCAGGCCTAGACGGGTCATAATGAGACCCGTCGGAATCATCACCATATGAAGTTTGGCTACGAGTGACCACTGAGAAGAGTCTTCTCCGAGAAGGAGGTCGAAGGTTCTGCAAACGTCTGAGTCGCATGTGACCACGACGAGGAAAGACTTGCTCGTCGCCGATGTAGTTTCGCAGTGCCCAAGACCCGTAGAGAAGATTGGTGCGATAAATCGCTGCAGTGACATGAACTACGGTCAGACAAGCGCAATCGAACAACACATACCTCGACAGATGAGATAGAACCCTGCTGCATAGAAACCATAGTCGACCTTGGGATGGTTTAGGATCACATTGAAGGGTTGAGAATGAGACAGTTACACGGGTTAGGACTCTATCGATTGAGCGCAGGACACGAAGAACCACAGGATTCTTGCTTTCGACTTGATATTGCGTTTTGCATTGCG